GAAACCCCCTTCAATCGTAAATATATTGTGTTCACATGCCTTTAAACAAGTAAAAAATCAGTAAATTCGGCCGAGCCGTACTTTGAATACCCTCCACCATTGGGAACGAATTTGGCAATTTTCAAAAAAAAAAATCCGTTAAAAATTCTGTTCAAATTTAAAAAAATAACGAATGTTGCCGTTATATTAGGGTCAATACGACGACGTGGACCTGCATAGGCAACTTTTGTCATAAGCCATTAGAATATTCAATTGCGAAACTTGAAAACCAGTAAAGAAAGTCCTAACGTCGGGCGGGGCCGATTTTATGATACCCTACACCACTTTGCTAATTTAGTAGAGCTCCACATAACAATTAAAAGTTTTTATGGGAGAATTCCGCCATGATTATAATTATAATTTAAAGTTCAAAGGACTAAATATGACGAAGCATTTGTATCTTTTAAATTCGGACTTGAATTGCCCATTTGGTGCACAATTAATTTGAAATCAGATAAAGATATATATGGGAACTATATCCAAATCTGAACCGATCTCGATAAAATTTGGCAAAGATATTTCTGAGCTGTATTTGATATATTTCCCTCAATATCGTTGTTACGGAGTGCATATTACGGCTGTAGGTAACAAATACAACAAATCGGATGAACAATATATATGGGAGCTATAGCTATATCTGAACCGATCTTCACCGAATTTGGCATACTACCTTCTAGACTCAATTCGGTAGTATGTGCCAAATTCCATCCCATTTGGGCAAATATTAGACGTTTGGTGCACAATAAAAGGTAAATCGGACGAAGTTATATATGGGAGCTATATCCAAATCTGAACCGATCTCGATAAAATTTAGCAAAGGTATTTCTGAGCTGCATTTGATATATTTCCCTAAATATTGTTGTTACAGAGTGCATATTACGGCTGCGGAGGACAAAAATAACAAGTCGGATGTTATGGGAGCTATAGCTGTATCTGAACCGATTTCGATCAATTTTGACATACTTATTTTCAGGTCCAATTTGATCGTATGTGCAAAATTCCATACTATTCGGACTGATATTACACGTTTAGTGCACAATAAAAAGCAAATCGGACGAAGATATATATGGGAGCTATATCTAAATTTTTACCGATTATCTCCAATTTCAATAGGGCTCGTCATTGGACCAAACAAATGTTGTTTGCAAAATTTCATCTCAATCGGATAATAAATGCGACCTGCATTTTGTTCACAAGAATACATGGACAGACGGACGGACGGACGGACAGACGGACTGACATGCATAAATCAACTCAGAAATTGATTCTATGCAGATCATCAAAAGGAACTATGGGTCTATCTCGTTTCCTTTTGCCTGTTACAAACAAATGCACAAAGACATAATACCCTGACCACCTTGTGGTGTAGGGTATAAAGAGTTCGGTGCATTATGTCGCTAAAATCATCAAAATACCGAATATAGGAAGGTACCATTATATGGGGGATATAACAAAACGTGGACCTGCACAGACAATTTTCTGTCATGATTTGTAATATAATGATTTGTAATGTAAGAGTTGCCGTTACATGGGGGCTATACGAAGACGTGGACCTGCACGGACAATTTTCTATCCTAGACTGTAGTATCCATTACGAACTTCAAATACCAAATTTGAAACATTTCCTGTGAATAATGTAGCTTAAAACACCAAAATACCGAAAATAGGGAGGTACCATTATATGGGGTTATACGAAGGCGTCGACCTGCACGGACAATTTTCTGTCCTAGACTGTAGTATCCATTACGAACTTCAAATACCAAATTTGAAACATGTCCGGTGAATAATGTAACTTAAATCACCAAAATACCGAAAATAGGGAGGTACCATGGACGTGGATCCACGTGGGCTATTTTCAATACTAAAAGTCCTGCAGACATAATATACATTTGATTAAAATTTTATCATTTTATACTTCATTTCGTTCGGAAGCTAGAGTGATTTCTACAGACGGACAGACGTACGGACATCGCTAAATACTTTATGGGGTCTAAAAAGAAGCTCACATCGCCTGCAATCATAAACCGTTTCCCCTAAAATGTAACGTTTTTCAAATCGTAAGTATAAACGTTTAACAATAGTGTACCTAACACACTTCCCTGCGCCATGATTGACCGATAGCCGGAAAAATAATGTGTTCTGCTTGCACCCAACGTATGCCAGCTTCTTTATCAGATTGCTGTGGTCCACAAGATCGAACGCTTTGGTGAAGTCAAAAAAGAATCTCCAGTCACTCCTTTGCTGACAGTATCTAATCCCTTGCATATGTACTTAATTAAGATAAACACCGCAACAGGTCTGAACTTATCCACACTTTTCGAGTTAGCTTTCATAGTAAAATAAATAATCGAGATATTTTCCTTTTATAATAATATCGTTAAAAAGCTGCTTAAAACCTCAGCAACCTCAGATTATCTCATTAGTAACATCTTAGGCTGAACATCTTATCTGAACCACAACATTTTGTGATGTCTTCAATGACTAATCGTTCGTCACTTCCAACATATCAAACCGACTCCAGCGGTCAAAATGAATTAATTTCATTATTTCATATCTCTAAAGTGTCTCTTCAATTTCTCCACCTTGTCAACATCTATAAAAAGGACATTATCATTGCCATCAACTATTTCTGTCAAAAGTCATATTTCTTCCCATTTCCTTGTCGAAATGTGTCACATTTGCTCGTATTTCATTTTCACGATCTAATTTTGTTTAAAAAATAATAATCTCATAAATTTAAAATTTGTTCATTACATTTCCACTCCGTTTTAATCGATTTTTTACGCTTATATTTTTTTTTATTTTTACGCCTCACAGCAAGCCATTTCATCTTGTAATCAATCAATGAAATCAACTGATCAGAAATCCAGAGAGCTTTGTTCCGTCGAATATTCACATTCTCCGCTACATATTCAATTATCTGACTAACAGCAGACTGTAGCACGTAACTTAACGTTTCGCACTTGCTCTCCTTCTTTTTACAAGAACGTGACAGGTAAAAGATCAAAGTTATAAATCAAAAGCATGGAGTTATTAGCTGACCTTTGGCATAGTATTTTCACCCAAATCTTATCATGGCATTTTCAGTCAAATGTTGGCATGATTTCTTTTTAATAACTCAATTTTTAGTAAATATATGTTCTCAGAAAGAATTTGAAAACTGACAATAGCAAATTGCATTGTCAATTCAATCCCATTCACTGGACTTTGGGTTATGGTACACATTATTACAAAACTAACAAGTGTCTGCTACTTCGTCAGCCCAAAAACTCCTCCCTAAAATCTTGCATTCGTTCCAACAGTTCTTGCTAAGCCTTTTTAATACTCAAAATGTACAATTTGTTCATTTTGATAATTTTATCAAAACTTCATACATCGTGCTAAATTTTTCAGTCTTTCAAGGTTTTATATATTCTTCAAGTGTTTACCTTTTAGGAAAGAATAATAGGGATAATGGGGAATACACCAAAATGTGTAAAAATCGTTCATTTTGAAGTTTACATATAGTTTTCTGTCGAAAACTATATCAATGTCTCCTTTTATAAACCATAGAAACCAACAGAGACCTCAATATCAAATTTTAGAACGCTTAACCCAAATACTGAATTTAGTAACATATAGTACGCATATACAAAATAATCAACATCTTTCTTTCCTAAACACCAACAGTGATCCACAATTAATACCACTTACTACTTTTCGAACAATTATAGTACACATTTCCAATACCACCTCTATTTCTATATCAAATTTCAGGATTTAAGCTCCATTCCTTCACCCTGTACTATGTTAAGTACTTTTCGTACAATAATAGTACACATTTCCAATACCACCTCCATTTCTATATCAAATTTGAGGATTCAGCCAATATCCAGTTTAGTACGATTAAGTACTTTTCGGATATAGAATGCATTTACAATCTACCGCTAAATCTCAGATACAGATACCATCGTTACCGTATACACATATATACATGCTCTGTTCTAGTACTTGCAAGAATCTACTAGTTCTACACATAGTGGCAAGGGTATTATCTTTGTGCATTTGTTTGTAACATAGAGAAAGAAAGTGAGATAGACACATAGTTATCTTTTAGGATTTTCATAGAATCACTTTCTGAGTCATTTATACATGTCACTCCGTCTGTTCGTCCATGTATTATTGTGAACAAAATGCCGGTCGCCTTTATTATCCGCTTAAGATAAAATTTTCCAAACAATAAGTGGATCAGATTTAGATATAGCTCCCATATATCTTCAACCGATTTCGGGTTAATTGTGCACCAAATGACCAAAATAAGTCCAAATGATCTGAATTTTGGCACATCGAACCGAATTCAGTCTAGAAGTAAGTATATCAAATTTGGTGAAAATCGGTTCAGATGTAGCTATAGCCCCCATATATATGTTTCATCCGATTTGGTGTTTAAGTCCCTCACATCCGTAATATGCATTAGATAACAATGATATTTGGTACCACATAGATACAGCTCAGAAATACCTCTACCAAATTATATCAAGATCGGTGCAGAGTTGGATGTAGCTCCCACATATATCTTCAACCGATTTCGGGTTAATTGTGCACCAAATGACCAATATCTGTCCAAAAGCCCTGAATTTTGGCACATCCGACCGAATTCAGTCTAGAAGCAAGTCATAAAATTCGGAGAATATCGGTTCAGATATAGCTATGGCTCCCATATATATGTTTACATTTGACTTTATATTTTATAGCCATTTCAAGAGTTTACATTTTATTTGAACATACGCATTTGGTTCACAATGAACTGAATTCAATTCCATCCATCATACAAATATCATGGGAACATATATAATTAAAGATATTTTGTAAGATAAAAAGAACGCTTTTGAAACTCCATTAAAAAAAGAAATCTTAAGATAAGAAACTTAAGAAAAACTACCAAAACATTGAACCCCCATTCATTAACAGATTTCTTTAAATATATTTTTTGTTTGAATAATTTTATTTAAATTGATTAATTAGTTTTACATAATATTGACAAAAAGTTAATTTCGCTTCGGTAATAATTCAATTAAAGAGTGTGTGTGTGTGTGTGTTTGTTTGGGGGTTTGATTAAATATATTTATATAATAGAGATTAAAATAAAACAATCCGTTCTTCTTCATCATCACCATTACATTGTTATACTCTCTCTTCTTTATTGTTTTGATATATCGTTTGTGTGTATGTGTGTGTTGTATTTCAAATTAAACAAATTGATGGGTTTTCAGATATTCCAGCATACCTTGGACACTAGCATCAACATTTAGATGACCCTGTGAATTATGATGTTGACCATTTGGCATTTGACCATTACCACCTGGTGGTCCGCCACCTAAGCCAAAACCTGCAGCTTGTTGGCTGAGATGTTGCAAGAACATATCCTGAGGTGGTGGCTGTTGTTGCTGCTGCTGTGGTGGTGGCGGCATTTGTGGGGGACCCATTTGATTTTGTTGTTGCTGCTGGGGAAAAGAGAACTGTCTAAATGAAAGTATGGCTGGATCCATGGCGGTCCAATCACTGCCACCACCACTGCCATAGCCAGGCTTCTGATTTGCCATATTTTGTGGTTGTCCGAGGTTATCGTGACGCAATCCCATGCCCTGCTGTTGCTGCTGTTGCATATTGCCTAAGTGTGAGCTCCAAACATTGGGATTGGGCATTTGTAAAGGATGTGTTTGTTGTTGCTGTGGTGGCATGTGTGGAGGATTACCAGCCCCGCCGTTGTTTGTTCCAGGCAAATTCATAAAAGGCAACATTTTACTATTCTGATTGCTATGCATTCGTGGATCCATGCCTCCATAACCTCCTAAATTGCTATTATGATGGCTAAAGCCGGGCGGAGGCATGCGTAGTCTTTGCATATATTCCAGCATGGGATCTTGTTGATGTGGCGGTGTCGGTTGAGTCTGCGGTTGTTTGGGTGGACCAATTGGATTGGAGTGTGACGTAGGCACATGATTGTGCTGTTGCAGTTGCTGCTGTTCCTCCTCATTTTCAATGAGCTCAGCTAAAGCCTTTTGCGTTTCAATGAATGGATCAAAGCCTAAGTCATCGTCCGCATTGGAATTCTGTAAATATTGCGATTTCAAGTGATTTTGGTTCCCGTGCATGTTGGAGAGGTTCTTATTGAGGGCCTGTTGCTGCTGCAGTTGTTGCTGATGATGCATCATAGGATCCATTTTACCATACAACTGTTGCTTTTGTTTCTGTTGCTGCTGTTGTAGATGGGAGTTAAGCAACGAATTTGGATCCAAGAGTTGGGAATTCAAGGGTTTGTTTTCCAACAGGGACATCATGTGGAAATTATCACTTAGCGACCCCAAACCACCAGCTGCAGGGCCTCCAATACCTCCACCGTAATGCTGCAGTTTTTGTTGCTGCTGATGTTTGTGAAAATCGAAAAATTTCGACATGTTTGTTTCGAATGGTAACTGCGCGGAATTTTGCAATAGGTTTTCAGAGGACAGATTCGGTTGATGCTGCAATAAAGGATTTTGTTGGGCCATAAAGTGCGAATGTCGTCCAAGATCACTTCCCAAGGGACCCAGTGGCCCTCCCAACTGTGACACACGCATGGAGTTCAATAAAATATTGCGTTTCTGCAGTTCCTGTAACTTTCGTAAATCTTCCTGTGTTTTCAGATGAAGATGGCTATTGAGGTGCTGTTGCAACTGCTGTTGTTGTTGCATCTTCTCCTCCATTTGTTTATTCGTTTTGAGTATGACACTTTTGAAAGCATCCTCCCAATCATTACTGCAATTTAAATTACTCTGGTAACCATCAATGCCATTAATAAGATCGGGTAAATTGGGCATGGTTCTGCCAGTCAGAAGGGGATCTTCCAATAGTTTGTTGTTTAATAATGAAGCGGTATGTTGTTGCTGTTGTTGCAATGGAGGCATCTGAGAGATTTTGTCAGGATTTAAACTAAAGAAACTCCTATCATCGAAGAGACTCAACTTGGGCACATCGGAAATAGTTGTGCTTAAAAGTGTCGCGGATTGTGTACTCTCAATGGAATTCTTGATCTTATCGCCTTCATCTATTGAAGAATTTATACCATTATACAAAGGCGATTTGTTTTTATTGCCGAAAACGGAAAAGTTATCTGGGATACTGGCAGCTGTGCGCTCGATGCTTTCTGTGAATGGACATGTTGCCGATTTTTCTAGGGAGTCGGATGTTGTGATGGTAGTTGCGGGTGGCGACGCTGCTGTTGTTGTTGTTGCTGTTGCACTAGCCAGAGGCTCCTCTACGGAATTCGATTTCAGTATCTGTTGAGTTGTGGTTGTTTCCGAACTTAGATTTCCATTGCTGGCGGTACTGCTACTGCTGCTATTGCTAGTACTACTACTACTGCTGCTGCTACTACTAAGACTGCTATTACTGCTATTAGAAACGTACATGGTGTTCTCTGTTGTTGTTGTTGGTGGTGTTGCTGATTCCTGTTTGCATTCGTTTTTAGATCTGTCTCGTTCACTATTTGTAGCCTGGCTTTTGCTGTTATTGCTATCTGTGCTGGCGGCTTTTGTTTTGGAGTTGGTTTTGCTGGTTTCGACTGTCTCGGTTCTTGCTGGTAGTTCTTCTTTTCTTTGATTTTGGGAATTATTGGATGTACTGTGACTGTTTTGTTGTTGTTGTTGCTGCTGTTGTTTTCGATCCCGATCTTTATCTGTTGTTCTTGTTTTGTCACTATCCGCGACTGCCGCTGTTGCTGATTTACTGTTGTTAGTGTGTGTTGCCTCCACGGGATCTTTGCTTGCAGGATTTGTATTACTGTTGCTATTATTGTTGTGGTTGTTGTTATTGTTGGAGGTTGAGTTGGAATTTTTGTTTTTCGCTTTGCCATTCTTCTCCGGTTTCGTCTTTTCCTGTTTTTGTCGTTCTTTCTTACTTTTGGGACCACCATTCGCCGGATTTGCTTCATCCTTTTTAATTACCGGCCACACGAATAAACTAGGCCATGCCTCCGATGAGGACTGTTGGCCACCATTGACCGCTGGTGCCGTTGTACCACCACCGGAACTGTCGTGACCATTGTTAATGGCATTGGCTGATTTACTGGTAGCCAGACCACTCGATTTGTAGTTGGAATCTGTCGACTTGCCATTACCACTTAATATACCACCGGACGATGCAGATGACGACGACGGTGTTGTTGTCGACACCAAACCACCTCCTGTCGTCGAACTACCCGCAGTGGCTATTAACGCCTCATGTAAACGTTTCTCATAATCCTGATGTTTACCTTGGTGCATTTCCTCCTTGGTAAAACTAGCTTCGGGATCACCCAACTCATGCAGATACATACAATCGCTCTTGGGGCATTGTTGATTCTTCATGAAATGGCTACAGTACTTGGTGGTGCCCAAACTAGTTTTTATTAAACGGCCATCAATCGTTATGTTGTTAACGCTCTGTATGGCCCTCAGTGCGTCCGGATTGTGCACATAAGTCACATAGGCTGAAGCCGAGGGACCCTGCACTCCCGCGTACGTTGTGCTAGGATTAATAACTACCTTATGAATCTTACCATATTTGCCAAAATACTCATGTTTCTTGAGGATCTCAGCATCCGCCAACCTGGGTGGCAAGCCCACCACGAATACCAAATTCTTTTGCACCACTCTCACATTGGCCAGATGTTTACGATTTTCGGTAATTTCCTGCTTACGCTTCTGATCGCGTTGGCGTTTTTGGAATTTAAAGGCAACCATTTCCTCCTGACTAAGTGGCTTGAAATCAGCTGGATTCTCAGGATATTCCTTGCGGCATGCAGGACACAGCTGATTTTCGTCGGTACGTATTCTGTGCCAGCAGAATCTGCATATTTGATAGCCACAGGTGCAGGGAAAGAAGTTGAGATCATCAACCTCCAATGGCTCCATGCACAGTGGGCACTCCACAATGTCATCGGTGTTATTTAGATTATTCATAGTTAATTTCCAGGAAGTAGCAGCACAACTTCTTGGGTTAAGTCTATGAAAGGCGAAAAGAGTTACTGATGTTGTGTGGTTGTTGTTGCTTTTGACGACAACGACGACAACGAATGGATGAATTGATGGTTGATTGGTTACTCTGCCACAAAAGCAAGCCAGCAATCAATCAATCAACAGTTTCTTCTTACTCTAAAAGGTCTTCTTCTATTTCGTTTTTCTTCTCCTTTTCCAGAGCTCGTTTCGCTAAATTCGCAAAGATGATGTTTTCCTCTTGATTTAAATGTACTCGCCTTGGGATTTCTCTTCCACAACGAAGAAAAGTTTTCCCAATCGCTAGATCTCGTTGAGTTACAAAAAAGTGATTTTCTCGGACCCTCTCGAACAACGACGACTACGACGATGAATATGTTTGTGGTGACACAACTATTTCACAGTTAAGAAAAGTGTTGTCAATATCATTGATTGGCAGGCTAATGAGGGGGAGTATCAATATCATTCAACAAACCTATAAAAATCCGTTGAGTTTTTGCAAAAAAATTCAATATTCAAGGGCTCCTGGTATTCTATATATACGGCAATTCATATAAATAAATAATTCTACACGTTAACCTTCAGTAACTTTTTTATTCCATCAGCAGTGCTAATATTTTGGGGAAACTAACAAATTGACTATAAAGTATTCGGTATAGAAACGGGCGAATGTGTACATAACAAGCGTTTAGCGCTTCACGAATTTTCAAGCTTTGGAGAAGGAAATTAATGGCCAAAATCCAATTTCTATACCAATAAACATATTCACAATGTAATACGAACATTAAGTTTTACATTTCCATACATATATAGAACAGATGGGATATATAAAATATATATTAATATATTAAGCCTCAAAATATACTTGACGCCTAATAAGTGTTGTGTGCAACACAGCTTCTCTAAGTACTTGGTATTTAGTTACTTTATTCTCTTATTATTGCCAATCGATGGATGTGTTCAATACTCTTGCTGTTTCACTCCCGCTCATTGTTATTCATATTTACCTTTTGTAGTTGATAATTGCTTCTATGCAAAGGAAAAACATGTTATCTCTCTTCGACGAAAATACAAGTGTTAAACAAAATGCAGGCAAAAGCGTACAACGTACGGCGATAAAACGGAAATTCTACATCATAATTTTTTTCGTGAAGCTGTTAATATTTGAATAAATAAAAGGATTTTGTAAAGTAAATCCTCAAGTCTTTGGGGAAAAAAGGAAATGCAGCAACATTCAGTTAAAGTTAGTATTTGAATTCCATAAAATTTGGCAGTAGTATTTCTTCTTTGTAATCTCGAAGAAATGGAAAATAGGTTGTTCGGTTCCAGAACTGCAAGAATATAAAAGCATTTAACAATTTTTACTACGATAACCGATTTTCCCATTATAATTAAAAAAGTAGATTCTTGCAGGTTCTTGAACAGGTCAATAATAGGTATTTTTTCGTAAAAGCACAAAAGATTTTAGATTGACTTAAATTGATTTTCTCACAATTTCAAACCGAATGTGCTGTAACTTGGGAATATGTTTTTCCAGTATGTAGGAAACATCCGTGCGGAAAACTGTGCATATAGGTCCAAGTTTTGGTATAGACTCCAAATAACTGTACCTCCAAATATTCAATATTTTCCCGGAATTGTTTCAAATGTTGGTATTTGAAGATTGTAAGGCTTAACTCTAGTTTAGTAAAAACTCTTCAATTTTTTTCGAAATTTTTTATAATAGATGACAATATAGATGAAAATACTTATCCAACAAGTGGTCACATGAAGTTATAGTCAAATTATCGATTTTTTGGACCCGGATTTTTTATAAAACCCCCAAAAAGTCAAAAAATGGTCCATTATTGGGGACAACAAAATTGATGCCAAATTACACTGACACTCTTACCTTTCCAAAATGCTACAATTTGTGCTAATACCTTTACTCAATCCAGATAAATAGGTCTTTCCATCCGCATAACCCGATTCTAACCAGTTCATTAAAATGATGATAAGCTTTCAATCGATACCCATATTGTCTATATCGGGTAAGTGGATCCGGGTCCAGGCGGGGTCTTGATCCCGGACTTTCGGGTCAAAAATCTGGGGTCCCGGGTCCGCCCCCAAGAAAAAAATAGTTTCCCGGGATCAGGGTAAAAATACCTACCTCTGGAAAAAATTTCGAAAGAATCGAAGAGTTTTTACTAAACTAGAGTTGTTCCGATTGTAACGGTAATTAAAAAAGCAGCTAAGTTCTGCCGGGCCGAATTTGCTGTACATATAGGTCCAAGTTTTGGTAAACTCCATATAACTATCCCTCCAGAGGAGGGAGGTATCATTATATGAGGGCTATACGAAGACGTGTATCTGCAAACGTAATTTTTTGTCAGTAGTATCAGTTACGAGCTTCAAATACGAAATTTGAAACAATTCCGACGAATGATATCCCTAAACTCTTCAAAATACCGATTATGGGATGTAACGTTATACGGGGGTATACGAAGACATGGGCCCGGAAACGCAATTTTTTATCATAAGCTTACGAGCTTCAAATACGAAATTTGAAACATTTCCGATAAAAAAAATGCCGCTTAAATCATAAAAATAACGAATATCGGCTGGTACAGTTGTATGGGAGCTATACGATATCGTGGGCTGTGTTACAGGCGGAAAAATACCCTTGTGTAGAATTTTAGACAATTCCATTGAAAAATGTTTGCTAATTTTTCATCAAAATACCAAATATGGGCGCTATACAATATCGCAAACCGATGGTTCCTATCTTAAATTGTTTTTACTCTAGCGTGCTTACAACAGACGGACGGTCAGGGCCAAATCGTCTAGAATCTTTCGCTGATCAAGAATATATATACTTGGTTAGGTCTACAATTATTAAGAGTAACAAACTGATGCCGAACTTAATATACCCTCTATACTAGTATGTTGAAGGCTATAATAAGGAATTTGTAAACAAACGACAGAAATCGGAAAATTGTTATTTCTATTGTGCCAAATATTATTGATATAGGGAACATATGACGGCCTTCCGGATGGTTGAACTCATATCGGCTACAACATACATCTGGACACTGTAATTATCTAGATTTAATACCCTGTTCCGCAGTTTGGTGTACCGATAAAATATGAATAGATTACAAGAATAAAAATAATACAACCTTAAACTATAAAATTTGCTTCATCCTTCTAAAACATCTTGGTGACATGATAAAAAGTTTAATTTATTTGGTGAATATCTATATTTTTACAATAACAAATTAACTAAAAATATTTAAGACGCATTTTCAGAGGGCATCACGAAGTCTACGTGGAGGGCTCTACCGTTTTGTTATGTTTGGCCACAGCTTCCTGAGCCTTACTCAATTTTAATTTTCCTTCGGCAGCACGAGAACGCATCTCCTCCTCTACGGACTTGTTAAGAGTTTTGGATATGGCCTGTTTTATCTTTTGATGTTCATTGAATTTGGATTTCTTTGCTTGAATTGGAGCATCTATGGAAGAAAAACAATAAGGTTTACCATGGTTTGGTTGTAATAAATATTTGGGAAAAACTTACTTGATCTCCTTGTAAAAGCGGCACTGTTCTTTTGCTTTTGTTTCTTTTGGACACTCGCTGGGAGTTTTGCCTTCTTGAATTTTCCTTGGACCATATTAAATTCTTTTAAAATTAAGTTGCTAAGAACACAAAAAACGTGTGTTGTTGTTTTGTTTTGAAATCAAAGGGAGAAAAACAGAACAAGAGAGAGAATGATGTATTGCCGAGAGCGATTATTTTGTGAAAACGGTTATTGAATAACGAAAATTTAACGTGGCTTGGCGACACAACAATCTGTTTCAACTTTCCAACGGCAATAATATCACATTTACATGTCTGTAAAAATTGATTTCTTATTGGGAATCATAAATGGTAAATAATTAATATGGTACACAATGGAAATCAACTGAATACATTTTTTCTTATGGGAAATATTAAAGAAAAACACAGTTTTTGTATCACTTTATTGTAGAAGAAAATTTTGCGTTTTGGTGAAAAAAAGAAAAAACAACTTAATGTTAACATTTGAAGTTCCCTTCTCCCTAGGCTTGGAGGATAACAATAAACCAGCAGGTCTACGAATGGAGACCAACTGCGCATCCTTTAACCCAACCAAGTCATCATTTGAAGTTACAAGATTCTAGCTTTAAAATTGTGCTTTATATATTTAACCAATCGGCCCTACCTTGTAATTATTGGATAATACCAGAAACTAACTCCCACATTCCAAAATTAGTAAACGTTAAGACCTATTTTTAAATAGGAGAAATACACTCTGCCCCAAGGCCTATTCAATAAGGTCGCTCCGGAGGCAATTTCAGATCCTACTTTCGGTAAGGAATCAGTTAAAAAGAAACTGACAAATGTTTAAACCAGTAAGGAAAAGTCAAAAGTCTTTGTCTATGGAAGCGAGATAAACCCATAGTTACTTTGGAGGATCTACATTTAATCACTTGCTGAGTCGATTTATGCATGTCAGTCCGTCCATGTATTCTTTTGTATTTTTTATCCGATTGAGATGAAATCTTCCAAGCAGTATTTGTTTGGGCCAAGGATGAACCCTATTGAAATTGAGAATCGGTTAGAATTTAGGTATACTTCCCATATATATCTTTAACTGATTTCGGGTTAATTTTGCACCAAATGTCCGATATAAGTTCAAATGACTTCGGCACATCCAAACGAAGTCTGGAAGCAACTAATTCAAATTTGGTGAAAATCAATATAGCTACACCTCCCATATATATGTTTCATCCGATTTCGTGTTTAAGTCCCTCATATTCGTAATATGCACTCCAAAAGAACGACATTTTGTACCAGATATCAGATATAGCAGAAAAAACTTTGCCTAATTGAATCAATATCGGTTCAGTTTTGGATATAATTCCTATATACAGGGTGAGATAAAAAAAACTGCAACAAAGTCAAACGCCATAATTTTTTATTTTTTTAATTTTATTGAATGAAACCAAAAAATGTCGGAAATAGCATCAAATTTTAAAATAAGTTTAGATTTGTTCGAATTGGACAATTATGGCCTTCAAACGGCCAATGAAACCGTCACATGCTGCCCGAATGTTGCTCTGAGGTGTTTTGGCCACTTCCCGGCGAAGCGCTTCCTGAGGTGATCGACACATTGGTATTTTTCAGTGCAAACCTTGCTTTCCAAAATACGCCAGACACAATAGTCCAACGGATTGATATCCGGAAATTAAACATTCTTGGGTGGCGCGTGCTGAGTCCTGTTGTAAAGTCTAAGGTCTGCGGCCAAAATGTTTGCGTGTCCAAGGCTTTAATACACCATCCAGAATATTTTCGCGATATTATTCGGCATTGATTCTGATGCGGAGAGCGACCATCGGCTGTTATGGCGGCTCACACCATCACCATGGCCGTCGCTTGAGTTCTGGTGGCCAACCGAAGGTGCACATTTTCAGCTGACCTCTTTCGCAAGTAATCACGATCATTTTGTTTGTTTACAAACTGTTGGACAACAAATGTTTTCTAATCGGAGAAAAACAAATTCGGCCAAGCAAAGCAACTCTTTAGCCCTTTTGAGTCTATTTTCTTTCTTCTGTTACGGTGCAAGTTCTTGCACTTGTTGAAATTTCAATGGCTTTACCCCGAGCTAATTTTTCAATATTTGCAGAATGGAATATCACGAGCCATTTTTCGGCCACTGCGAAGTTTTGTAGTTTTTTCATCTAACCCTGTATTGTAGCATTTTGGATAGGTTATAGTGCCATCTATAATTTGACATATATTTCGTAGACTCCGACTTTTGGGGTTTTTTTGGGGCTCTACTTGTTGGATAGGTATTGGTTGGATAACTCGAAATGTGTTCGACACCAAATGAGGTTATTTACTCCCTGTACATCATGTGTCCGACTTCTGACGTTACTTTACCTGTCAATAATAAGGTGATTTCAGAACTCTTAAAAATGTACATATTAAATCTAGAGGGAAGGTGAAAACCATCAACATGTTTTAAAAAAATAACGAAATAAATATTTGTTTTTGAAATATAGAGACGACCACCATATTTATTAATAATTTTATTTTCATATTTCTTAAAATATTAAAAAAAAACATGTTTTTTTTTTTTGCATTTACAATAACTGAGCAACAAAATGCAATACGCTTAGCTAAATTGAATGTTACAATTTGATGACACATTTGAAATAGGGTGTACTCGCAAAGGTTCGAAATTATGTAAATTGCCGGGGCAATTTTCTGGAACTCATATATGTACATACTTCACGAGAAAACAATCAAAAGTTAAGACAAATTTCAGACATTCTCGACTACACTCTAAATCTTTAAACAAAATTTCATTTCATTTAGTTTGATATTAATAAAACATTTCACTCAATTATATGTAAAAAAATAATGTTTTCCATAAAACTACACAGCAAGTGTAGTGTAGACATTAAAGAAAATGATAATATTCTAATAAAATACCCTAATTAAATTTGAATAAATAATGTAAATTTATGTATTTTATGGGACATTTTCAATGCCTTTTTTTCGTTTTAGTGGAAACTATGATGTGATTATTGTATGTCATTTGATAAAATAACATATGTACGCTTAAAAGGGGACCCAGTTTAGCAAACAAAAATAATGTGATAAGCTATTTGTTGGCATGGTAAAATGCCCAAACTTAGGTTGAATAAATACTTAGTAGAATACAATAAATGAAGGCAAAACGCATATCAAATGTTTAACTTGTTAGTTTGCTGACAATAATACCAGTCACTATTAAGCCTATTATCACAGCAATTGCTAAAAGTATTAAAATTTTACGTCTATAACTTTGACGGTGGCTAGCAGCTTTGGCTAATTCCTCACGACCAAGTTCAACTTCATTGGCGGTATATTCAACGGAAGTCTCAATGCGTTCTGAAAGAGATCAAATATTGATATTTATTTATGACAAAAAGGAAATACTGTTTGCTACACTTACCCACATCTTCACCCTGTGCCTGCACCAGGGTGCTAATGTTACGCATTATTGAATTAACATCCAAAATATCAGCCTCTATTTGTTTAATTTGTCTTTCACGGTCCACCATTAAATCATGCTCGAATTGCATTTGTTGTTGTTCCATTTGCATTTGTCGTTGCAATAATACCTGCCTATCCGAATCATGCTGCTCACTCTGCATTTGATCGTGCATTTGGGCCAGTTGTGTTTGGTTATAGGTTTGGCGCATTGCCGTGGCAATGCGTTTTTGCACGGCCGAATACTTTTCAACCACGTTACAGAAGTCATTGGTGAGTTTTTCCAGCTGCAATTTTTGCTGTTTGTCACCACGACGCACGATAGCGGTTAAACGTTGCAAATCAGTGGTTGTTGCCTCAATGTGTGGATTTACTTTGGTATGAATATCATGGGCCTTATCACGTGTCGACTGTTGATCACGAGGTGTACCAATAATTTGTAAAATCTTATCCAATTGCTTGTATGACGAATTGATGGCCTGTATATTGTGAGCAATATCTTCGCTGAGTGACATAAATTCGGTTGGACTGAAACCGGAGAAATTCACATCGGGTATTGATGATGTTGTTCCCGTCGCGGATGTGCCACCACCAGCCATGATATTTGCCGATGTACTGGAAGTGGCACCATAATCACGATGTGATGATGACATAGTATTGAGATTTTGCGACATGTTCAGTGTTATTCGGAGATATGGCGCCGGACTCTCTCAGCCTGTCACTCTACACCACCGCCAAACAAAAGCAATGTGAGCTTAAGTTGGCTTTGTAATTAATTGGTTTTTTCTTTGTTTTAATCACGAATTTTGGCTTCTCGATAATAAGTGCTCGCTCATAGACGTATGTATTCTTGTGTGTATGGTTTTCGTTTAACTGTGGAAAAATTCAATAAACAAATAAAAAATACTGATTACAATATAAATCAAGTGTATTCTGATTGATTTCATAAAGTCAAGTATGGGAAAGTCATAAAATATGGGATGCAAATCAATCTCAGCCTATTTTTTGGAATATAAAGACTTTAGAAACTTTTGCTGTTGAATAAATATCAAGGCCCATATAAGTTCGGCCAAGAAGTCTGCTTATGACATTGTGATCTAACAATCTTTGAATTTCAAATCACAATTTTTTTTGATAGCAAATTTAGTTGTCGAATGGGCTTACTGGCCAACCTTATATAGGCCATCATGCAGATATCTACATTTTCACTTTTTGTTTCTGCCAAAAACATAATTATTTGACTAGATACATATATGTTTTCGACATAAATGTTGTATTTTTACAAAACTCAAACAGTGACGTAAAAAATATAGGGTGTGATGAAAAAACTGCAACCGACAGCTGTTAAAATTATTCTAGTGACAGCTCATTATGTCGTTTACAAGCGTCCAGAAGCATTTTGGTGAGAATTTTCTAGAAAAAAAGTTATGATGATATTATGGTCATGGAATTCAAGCGTGATTGTGTGATTTGTTTGTATTTGGCTGGAAAACCACAAGTGGCTATCGTTAGAGCACTCCAGCATTTGAATGTGAATAAATCTGTTGTGTCTCGTACAGCGATGCTTAAGAAAAAATACCTCTTTTCAGTCAAATTTCTCTTTGCTTATTTAAATCAAGAACAAAACAGTGTTAAGTCATTATTTATACAAATATTATTTATCCATTTGCTTTATAAATTAATTTGGCAAACATTCGTGTTTAAAACAATTTAATAGAACCGTAAAATATAAAGAAAAACAGAATTTTAATTTTCTCTTAAATGATCTCTTTTTTCGATTAATGTTCTAGAACACGGTTTTGAGCACCGCTGGTCTCGTACCATCGCTCGTTACCATGATACCGGTAGCGCAGCCTGACGTCAAGGAAGTGGACAGAAGAAAACAGCAACATCAGCAGAAATGGTTTGAAAAATAAATAAGCGACTTGATCGAAACACGCGTTGCAGTGGCCGAAAAATGGCTCGCGAGCTGAACATATCGCAATATTCGATTCGGCAAATGTTGAAAAATGAGTTCGGGGTAAAGCCATGGAAATTCCAAAAAGTGCAAGAACTTACACCGCAACAGAAAGAAAATACTAGACTTAAAAGAGCTAAAGAGTTGTTTCGCTTGGCCAAAAGTGGTGAACTGCCGAATTTGGTTTTCTCCAATGAGAAAACATTCGTTGCCCAGCAGTTTGTAAACAAACAAAATGATCGTGTTTACTTTCCATAGAGGTCAGCTGAAAATGTGAACCTTCGGTTGGCCACCAGAACTCAAGCGCCGGCCATGGTGATGGTGTGGGCCGCCTTAACAGCCGATGTTCGCTCTCCTCTTGGATTTATCGACCGTGGCATCAGAATAAATGCCGAATATTATCGCGAAAATATTCTGGAGCACGCACCACCCAAGAATTGTTACAAAATGAGGTTCCTCGCTTCATTTCCAGTGCACAATGGCCACCAAAATCTCCGGATAACAATCTGTTAGACTATTGTGACTGGAGTATTTCGGAAAACAAGATTGGAACTAAAAAAAATTCAAAAGTGTCGATCACCTTAAGCAAGCGCTTCGCCGGGAAAGGGCCAAAATAACGGAGAGCAACATTCGGGCAGTGTGTGACGGTTTCATTGGCCGTTTAAAAGCCAAAATTCGTGCCAAAGGTGACCAATTCGAACAAATCTAAAGTTATTCTAAATTTTGATGCTATTTTCAACATTTTTTGCATTCATTCAATAAAATTTAAAAAAATGTAAAAATTATGGCGTTTGACTTTGTTGCAGTTGTTTTTATCTCACCCTGTACAATGTTTTTGACATATGAATTATTAAGTCAATGAACGTGTTGTTTTTTACAAAACTCAGTGATGTAAACAAATACGTCGTGTTGTCGTTGTATACAATGCTCACTACGCCACTGACATTATAACGCCCTCAATTGAAATAAACAAAAAAAAAACACATTTTAATAATTTAACTGCAGTAGCATTACACAAAGCATTTCTATTGAGTTTTATAATAAAAAAAAAAAAAAAAAAACACATCCCGCATTTATTCGATGTCCAGTCGTAATATAAACGGCGATGATTCATGGTGCATTATTTCTATAATAAAAACAAAAAATCTTTGTTTTCCAATATCATAGAGACCAATAACTTTTTACTTTGCCGCCACAACGATTAAATAACAATAAACTTATGACTTACTCTAAATACCACAAGACATTGATAAAGCGTCTACAAAAAAAAAAAAAAAATAGAAATGAAACTTAAGCTATTTCCCGCATACTTCAGGGTAGAATGCAATACAATATTCAAGATAAAACAATTATAAGTTGCACATCAAAAGAGCTTCTAAGATTTGTTAAAAAGAGTGGTGTTGTCTAGATATTGGGTGGGATCGAAAGTTCCGTTGTGAAATTATATGTGTCATAAGAAACTTTATTATTCCACACTCTCAATATATCCAAAGAATCTTGGGGATGAAACACCTCATATTTCCACATCATATGTCGTCTTTCCTTTATGTGCATGTAGTTATATTAATCCACTTCCATATCAATCAAAAAAAAAATCACTTATTTTACACATATCAGATGTATAATCTTTCTTGTGTGGCTGCTTGAGTTCACTGTCAACAAAAAAAGAAACTGATGATCCCAACCAGAGGTATACCAAACATAAGTTATGTTATTTTTATATGGCTTCTTTGAGTGAGAATTTCTTCAGAACAAATAAAGAGCACAGACAAAGTGTCAACACATATTGAGATAAGAATATGGAGCACATGGACGTCAAAACCGCATGTCAAAAAGTTCCATGACATTTCGTTCTGTAACAATATGAAAAAATTAAGTATGGGAACAATAAGATTAACACGATGTGCACAAATCTGTTGAAAAAATACAAGTTTTATGCAATCTTTATTAAATTTCGATGAGAAGGTTTATTGACTGTCTGCGCTTATTTCGTATTAAAATGCGATTGAAATTTTTAATATCTTTTATCCAGATACAAATCGGCAATAGAATGTCCACATAGTGATAAGGGTATTATGTTTTTGTGCATTCCTTCGTAACATGGAGAAGGAAGCGAGATAGGCCCATAGTTACTTTTGAGGATCTTCTGTCCGTCCGTCCATGTATTCTTGTGGGCAAAATGCAGGTCGTATTTATCATCCGAAAGAGATGAAATGTTCCAAACAATATTTGTTTGGCCCAAGGACGAACCCTATTGAAAAGTCCATATGACCTGAATTTTGGTACATTCCACCGAGTTTAGTCTAGACCCAAGTACATCAAATTTGGAGAAAATCGGTTCAGATATAGCTATAGCTATAGACCCTCACATGCGTAATATGCACTCCACAAGAATGATATTTGGTACCAGATATCAGATACAGCTGTGAAATAAGCTATGTTTATAAATCTGCAGAAGAGGGAGGTCAAAGCATATCAATATCGTTTTGCCATTTGTGATATGGAAAATGCTTAAGTCGTTATATATCATGGAGGGATGTTGAATATTAGAAAAGGAGGTCCAACGCTATAAGAGAGAAACTCTGGTCAAGAAGCCTATCAGGCAGATCTGATTGGCATTCATTCAATTAAAATATGAATGTCGTCCTTAGAGTTCACCTCTCATTCATTGCAGCTGAAGAATGTTGGCAGTCTTGGCAAACCAGGCTAGTTTGTATTGGGCACGAGTTGACGAAGAAAACGTCAGCCCGACGCGTGATATAGGCCCGCACAATACGCTTTAATTGCCTGCCAAACCTACCCCAAACACTTCAGAAAGTCTTTGGCTTCAGGCCGCGAAAGTAGCCAAATTATTGAAGCTAGTTTTCGGATTTTTTTTTCAAATTGTTCAAGTTCCTTCCAAATGGTGGATGATATTAAAAGTTCGACCCGGCCGAAATTAACAGCTTTTTTACTTGTTTTCCTTTGTTTTTGATTCTTTTTACCTAAGACTATGATCAGTTTAATGAAGGTACTTAGAACTGATTCTGTGCTAATTTTCCTCTGATCGTCGTCAGCATTCTTTATAAGCACTTTGTGCCGATTTCATAGGTTTTCTTTTAATGTAGGCGTATTGTACAGCACGAAAAGAGATTGGATGTAGGAGGTTCTTGATCTAACACTCTATTTATTAAGGAGAATTGTTAGTCTGTGGGTGTTGGAAGTAGTTGATTTGGTTTCGCAGCAGTGGACATGTAAACGCCTTTTTTCAACAGAACAGGGGAGAGTGATACGATAGATATTCTTGAAAATTTATCTTAACAATTGATGTCTGTTGATGGTAGATTTTAGATTTTTTTAACTAAGACTATGATCATCTGACAGTTTAATATAGGTTCTTAGAACTGTTTATGTGCTAATTCGTCGTCAGCATTCTTTATAACAACTTTATGCCGATTCCCAGGGTTTTCTTTCTATGTAGGCATATTGTTTTCACTTGATCTTACCCTATATTTATTTGAGAGAATTCTTAGTCTGCGGTGTTTTGATAGTAATTGATTCGGTTTCCTAGCAGTGGGCATGTAAACGAGTTTTCAGCAGGACCGGGAAGGATGATAAATGGATAACCTTGATGTCTGTTGATACATGGCAGGAAAAATAACTTCTGGTCTTGCTCACTATATTAGTTTACATTTTCTACAATGAAATTCTTGCAGAAAGTAATATAACATAATTATGACATTTCATATAAGGGTTATCTTACTCTACGGCAGAGGTCAAAGAACTTGTGGAACCCAATTGAAAGACAATTTAGTTTGCTAATTTTAATCAGTGTTTACGGTATATGCTTTAGCCATCAGTACCACGCTTCAAAAGATGACTATATCATGACGACTCAAAAAGTCCCACAAAATGAAAGCACGTATTTTGGGTTTTAATGTGGTGTCACTGTTGACACTAAGTTTTGAGGTTTTTTACATTTCTATATTGCAATATGAAGTGCAATTTTGACCATTTTTAAAGCAACCCACACCATTTATTTAGCAAGATTTCCATAATTGTTTTTAGTCAATTTTTGCTCCAAATTCTTTTTATTGTAGTAAATATTCACACGACGCTTTCCCTTATCCATTATAAGTCTTATTCCCTAAGGGATATGCAATTCTAAGAAATGATTAAAACTTTACATCACCCCATTTTCAGTTTGACCACCAGAGTTTTGTTTCGTTTGTTGTCAGGGGCGAAAATGCAATGGCATAAATGTTACTAAAAAAAGGGCATCATAACCAAGTGGGAGGAGGGTGAAGAAGCCCGAAAAATCATTACTAACAACAATGCAAGTTAGGGAATTGGATAGGGGTACGGGAACAAGGCGCTGCAACAAGCAGCAATTGTTTTGCAAAAACACAAAAGACTGATATTTGCAACAAATCATTTGGTATGTTTGACACTTTAGTTGTTTGTTTACCTCACGGATGACAAATTAGCCAATTTTTTTATCTTTTGTCCGATACTGGTATTAGGTAGGAATTAACAACAAAATAAAAACAATGCGTTTTATATTTTTTCTATTGCGTTTCGAAGGAATAAACAACTTAAAACTACGCGAACCACAATGTAGGAATTACAAAATCGCCTTTAAACTAATCGATAAATGGGGAAAAACTCAAAGTCGACTGTTTCTTAATTTACGCCGAGAGCAGCTGATGCCATGAGAAGGGAAAATACGATCAGCTGTTTTAATGGCTGTGTAATGCTAGGAACACAATTGGAGCGAACGACGAATTTCGCCCTACGCGGCGACAAAATGAGCCGCGAAAATTCGTCGTATGGAACACAATACCGACGAAATTATAAAACAGCTGATGAAGTTGTTTACTTTTTGCTCATTTGTTGACTACAATGAATTATACAAGAACACATAATTCTTTACGTTCTCTATTATAATTTCACTTATGTCCATCTTCTCTATTATAAATTCACTGATATCCATCTTCACTCAGGCGCAAGTACACAAATAAATAAACAAATTAATTAGGTTTTTTTATACGAGTAACAGATAGTAGAGTGACCATAACAAATTTTAAAGTAAAAAGTAACTTTATTTACTAAAACACATAAAATTCGTACAAGTATGGCCACCTTGTACTGTTTTGTTCGCCGGTCGCCGGCGTATGAAATAGAAATAAAGCTAATTGAGTTCGCGGCGACCGACGAAATTTTCGCCGGTGCCGTGATTGTGTGCACTTCCATATACACGTATGTGTTTTATTTTTGACGGCGAACATACGCCGCGAAAAAATTCGTCGTTCGCTCCAATTGTGTTCCTAGCATAATGTGGGCTAAACACTATTCCCCAAATTGAAAATAATTGCCAAATTTTCATTTGTTTGATAAAACTGAACGACTTGTCTTTGAGAATTGGTCAACAATAATAAAGAAAGAAGCATTGTTTTATTATACAAAACGCCAACGTTGATGGCGCGGAAGTATTCTTTAACGTTTTGTAAAAATGTATTTTCTTTGAATTGTAAAATGTGGTATACCCTATTGGTTTGTGTCACAATTTGAATTTGGTGTTGCTTTTACGACGATTTCCTAGCGATTGAAATGCACGGTCCATGGTAAAAGTATAAAGGTAGATGCATCAACGCTTGGGAACATTGATATGTAAGAATTATTAAAAGGTTTTTTTCAAAAATAAGTAGATTTATACAACTACTCTTATACGATACCAATCGGAGGTTGTTATAATATTTGTTTTTCAATAATTTTTTACAAATTTGTATAATTTTTCATTAAAAATGTTCTATTTCACAATTGGTTTGACACATGGTAGAAGAATATAGGTAGATACATCGACGCTTGGGAACATTGATATGTCAAACATTTTTAAACAAAATGTTTCTCCAAATATAAGTAGATTGTTATATGTTTTCTTATACGGCGTCAATCGGAGATATTTATAATATGCGTTTTTTAACAGTTTTTACAAGTTTAAATAATTTTTCGTTCAAAAATTTTAATTGCAATATATGTTTGACAGTTCATTGTCCCAGCAACTGTGTCGATGCGTCTGCCTGCATTCTTCTGCCATGGTTTGACAGTTAATTCTTAGCAGATGCATTCTTCTACCATTGCACGTTTCTTTCAACCATTGATTTTGACAAATTGTTATTTCTATTTCCTAAATAAAAATACAAAATTAACAGGAATAGGGAATACCCAGAAAAAAAAAAAACGTTTTTATTGTACCGAGTTTGATGTAACCAACACTTTTCTCGTTTATTTCTCCATGAATTTTTTTTTACACATGTAAATGTATCATTAGTTTTTTGTCTATGTTTACATTTCTCATCCACAGTAACGACGGCGTTACTAACATTTATACATCGCCTCAGTTATCCATTCAACAGACAAAGATAAGCGTGCTCAAGTTCTCTCTTTTGTCGAACAATTATAAATATTTTTTAATTTTCCAATATTTTATTTGTTTATTTGATGGCTTTTCCTATTCTTGGAGCTCAACAAGGTACACAAAAAACTAAATCATAAGAATTTACAGAAAAACTTAATTTAAAACTTATCATTTTACCATAGAAACCAATCGAAAAATTCTGGAAGATTTACAGATTAAACGACAACTCTTGCAAAAAGGTGCTGACATTACATTGGGTACCGGCGGTCTAAACAATCTCAATACTCCCATTGCCCAGGTAAATACAGGTCCTCAAATATAGTTATTTTGTAATTCCGGAATAAAAGACTACATATTTCCAGATGCCAACATCACAGTTACTGGGCCAGCCAACGGAGTTTCAATCCAGCGGCGCAATAACTGTTCCACGAACAGTTTTCAATCCAACAAGTTCGACAACGTTGGGTTATTTTGTGAGTCAAGACTCACATTACGGTAATTCGTTCATACCAGTATTGCCCCGTTTGGATCCCCTACCGCCAAATCATACTGCTAAATAGGGTTAAATTTTAAATTTCAAAACCATTTTTTAATTTATTTTTGTGCAAGAGAATAATTACGCTGACAATGGCACGAATGCGCATGAAGAAATTGGAGGAGTTTTTGTCCGGTGTTGACGGTTTCGAAAAACCAAAAATCTTGTTGGAACAATATCCTACGCCTCCTCATATAGCTAGCTGTGTCTTGTATAACGTTCAGGTAAATTTGCATTGTTATTGAAGGACTCAGTTGATGTTATTAGAAAATACAAATTCTTTATTTTTAGGCTCAATATTTTGATTTGGAAGATAAATTAGTGGGTGATCTCGGATGTGGCTGTGGAATGTTAAGCATCGGCTCCTTTTTATTGGGAGCACAGCTTACAATTGGTTTTGAATTGGACCCTGATGCTATAGATGTAAGTTAAATAAAATATAGATTATTCTAAATTTTTAGTACTATGCATTAACGATGTATTCCTTTATCTTGAAGGGATATAAAGGAATATAACGGCTATTTTTTCTGTTCCCTTTTTAATTTTCACTTATTTTTCCAGATTTTCCGCAATAATGTTACTGAAATGGAAATACCTGCCATTGATTGTGTTCAAACTAATGTATTGGAGCTTACTGGGTCGAAATGGGAAAATGCTTTTGATACAATTGTAACCAATCCTCCATTTGGTACAAAACACAATGCCGGTATGGATATGAAATTTGTTGAGACTGGCATACATTTGGCCACCGGTGCTGTATATTCCCTACACAAAACTTCAACGAGGTGCGATCAATAACAAGTTATTTATTTTATAAATTGTTATAATATTTCATTCTATTTCCAGAGATTACATACACAAAAAATCCAAAGATTGGAAAGTGAAAGGTGAAGTAGTGGCCCAGCTAAACTATAACATAGACAACAGCTATAAATTTCATAAAAGCAAATCGGTTGATATTGAAGTGGATTTTTGGCGTTTCGATGTAACGGAAAAGGAGCTGTAATATACATTTGTAGCGAATTGCAAAAATTTTACCATTTTATTTACAGAATTAAAACATTTATTATGTTTATTATTATATTAAATATACAAAAAAGCAATGATGATTGTGTGCATTTATAACAAAACTCACAATTGATTTTTTTTAAAGCTTAATAGCGGTAAAACGGGAAATTCGGGGAAAATACTTAAAATTAATGTTTTATATATGTGTTCAGACTCTGATTACTCGACATTGAAAACAACACCTTGGGCACAAGCCAATTCTCCAGAATGATTGACGGTTATGGTGGCACGTTTACAGTACTGTTTCCAGGCATCTGAGCCAGATTCACGACCACCGCCAGTGTGTTTCTCACCACCGAAGGCTCCTCCAATTTCAGCACCATTTGTGGTGGTGTTAATGTTGACAATGCCACAATCGGAACCTTGGGCGCCAATCCATTTGAATGCCTTCGACATGTTTTCGGTGAAGATGGCCGACGAGAGACCTTGATCGACTTCGTTATTCCATTCAATAGCTTCTTCAACAGATTTGGTCTTCAATACATAGACAATGGGAGCGAAAGTTTCACGATGTACGACAGGAGCATCATGTGCTAAACCGGTAATAACAGTGGGTTCGACGAAGAATCCTTCACGGTTAATAACATTACCGCCAAAGGCCACTTTACCGCCCAATTTAACAGCATCAGCAATGGTATTCTTATAACCATCAATATTTAGTTGGGAATGAACAGGACCCACTAGGGTATTTGCATCCAATTGATGACCAATGCGAGACAAAACCTGCTTATATTTGCCACATAATTCCTTGACGAATTGATCATAGAGCTTCTCATGGACAATAATACGTCTGGTGGTAGTACAACGTTGTCCAGATGTGCCAATGCAACCGAACAGGGCAGCATCCAAAGCCATTTTCAAATTGGCATCTTCATTAATTACCAAGGCATTGTTACCGCCCAATTCCAAAATGACTTTGCCGAAGCGTTTTTGTACCTCCACTCCAACATCGCGTCCTGTTTGACAGCTGCCGGTAAAGGAAACCAATTTGACGCGTTTATCGCTAACCAATTTCTTGCCAACATCTGCGCCACCTTGGCACAATGTTGTGATTGGAGGCAAGTTATTGCGTTTCAAGACATCGGCGACAATTTTAGTGGTGGCCACCGAAACTAAGGAGGTGGTTGGGGCTCCCTTCCACAAAACACTGTTGCCGCAGGTCTGTAAAAGAGAAAGAGAAATTACTTCTATAACTTTTAATACAAGCAATGTTCTACTTACCAAGGCAATGGCAGCATTCCAGCCAAAAACGGCATTGGGGAAATTATAGGCCGAAATAACGCCCACCAAACCCAATGGACGCCATGCTTCCAAAATTGTGTGTTCAGCTCTTTCCGAGTTAATCATTTGGCCAGCATAGATGCGTGACAGACCCACAGCATAATCACAGATATCAATGAATTCTTGGACTTCACCTTGACCTTCACTGTAGATCTTACCAACTTCCAAGCTTACCAATTTACCCAAAGGCTCCTTGTATTTGCGTAATTCATCACCAATTTGTCGTACAATTTCACCTCTAACGGGAGCAGGTACTTGACACCATTCTTTGTAAGCTTCCACTCCCACCTTTATGGATTCTTCCATTTCTTGAACTGTGCCAGAGCGAACACTGGCAATTGCTTTACCGGTACCAGGATCAATCGAAGTGACAACTTCTCCTGAACCTTTCCATGAGCCAGTGAATACACCGGGATTTTCACGTTCCAATCCAACATCCTTAAGGAAAGCGTACTCTGGAGAATCAATTAAATAACTATTGGCCTTCAGAGCAGAGCTAAGGTGGAGAGATGCTACTCTTTGTGCCTGATGCAAAGGAGCATTTTTCAGTAAACTAACGGCACGGAAAAGTTGAGACATTCTGCACGGAAAGAAAGGGATACAAATAATTAAAAACTATTTCATGATGATGATTTCCGATTTTATTGGACTGTATTCAAGGTCTGGGACTTGAAAAAGAGGAAATAAGCTGGCATGTATCAAATAAGGATTTGAAAGATAAATATAAAGGGCACTTTCTTAAGGTAAGGATAGAACTTTCTTCATTTTTAGCGTGTTTTTGGCCACAGCTATGAAATCAGAAAGTAAGCTACGATATCTTTCATTCAGGAGTGGTGAACTTTTTGGAGTGCCACAATTTTAACCGCCGTTGACGACCATGTTTTATTAAAGAATTATATATTACCATATTATATCTACCTATCTTATCGTTTCAAGAGATATCTGCCCAACTTAACCACGAAATAGGTAAATTTCGATTTTTTGTTTGTTTCTAATTTTAAAATTTCATAAAAAATACGTTTTTTTCAAATACACACCCATTCTCTAATCTCAATATTTACAAAATGTGATAATCTAATGCCTACAGCAGCAAAACTCATTAACATTTGTATGTACGTTTCAAAACCCTTATCAATGAAATCTTCTGAATTATTGCGGGAACTCATGTCGTTCGATATGTTTATTTGTTTCTATGGAATACTTTAGAATAAATATCTCACGAAACGTATGATAGACATTCAATACTGCTTGTTTTGTTTTTCTCCAATGATAAGAAATCTCAACATCGACACCATAAATGTATAGGCACCAGAACTTATCTCTGAATGTAGGTTTGTATTATATATAAACTCAACAATTCGAGATAAATTTTGAAGCAATGAAAGTTTTTTTTTAGTAAACAGAGATAAACCAGCGACATACGATTAGGAGTGTCTTAGAAACATGTTTGCAACAAATTGTTAAATTTGTGATAAAGGTAAAAAAGTCAATTTTACATTTAAGGACGTTCTAAAAACGAAATCCAATCCAATAATTCGGTTCCAATAACACCTTTATCCCCAAGTTTCTCCGCTGCGAGGAGGGATATAAATGACAGACCAATGCTTGAAAATGTTGGCCAGCGGGGAAATAAATCGGAGCAGGTTGTATGTGGAAAATAAATACAATTCTGATCCGTATTGTATAAACGCTTGGTTAATATGGTTGAGGAAGAACAATTGAAAAAGCCGTTAAGTACACTTATACCTTTTTATACCCTCCACCATACATAGTGTAGAGGGTATATTAAGTTCGTTATTCCATCTAAATAATTTTAGAATTCGTAATGGGTACTATAGCCTATGACAAAGAATGCATATGCAGGCCCACGTCTTCGTATAGCCTACATATAATGGTGCCTCCCAATATTTGGTATTTTTATGTTTTTAGCGACATTTTTTACCGGAGTTGTTTCAAATTTCGTATTTAGGGTTTGGAACTAAATGGGAACTACAGTCTATGACAAAAAATTGTCTATGTAGGTCCAGGTCTTCGTATAGGACCCATATATCAAAGAACCCATATATCAGCACCCCTCTATATTTGGTATTTTCACGATTTTATGTACAATATTAACCGAAATCGTTTGAAATTTCGTATTTGAAGTTCCTAATAGGTACTACAGCCTGTGACAGAAATTGTCTATGCATGTCCAAGTCTTCGTACAGCCCCGATATTTTTTTTTTTAATTTCAACCTTTTGTGGGGTTGGTACCAGAAGGAGTGGACCGATATTGCCCATCTCCGAACTCGATCTAAGTTTGATAATAATATTACGATGTACCAAGTTTGGACCAAATCGAATACTCCCTTCGAGAGTTATCGTGCGCACCAGCCAGCCAGACAGACGGACGGACGGACATCGCTAGATCGACTCCAAATCTGTTTCCTGAAACAGATTTGGTCAAGAGAGACCTAAAATCATTATTTCCATGAGGCACGTTTTGGCCGTATCAAATGATATATACCCTCTGTAGCCATATGACTGAGGGTATAAAAAATATACATAGAAATAAAACAACTATATAACAAAAACTAAAATAATGCTCGGCAAGATTAGAATCTGCTCGATTTTGAACGAATTTTGTTCCCACTCAAAAACAAGAAAAATATGTTCATTCATGCTCGAGCGACATCGAAAAATTGTGTTTGTTCGATTCTCTCGAATTCGAGTGACTTTCACTATTTGAACAAATTCGAGCGAGTTTTTCGGAGGTCTGTAGGTCTATTTTGTAACTTTTTAGCAATTTTACTAATTTTTTATTTTTTTTTTCAAAAACTATATTTGTTTTTTTGTTTAACAACTTTTCAATCGATAAAAGTTACAGAATAGGTCTACTGGTGCATATACAATGGATATGTAAATATACATTTTAAAAATAAAATATCAAATGAAAATGTTTGAAAAAAAATTGAATCATATGATTGCATGACATAAGGTGGAAATACAAATCGAAGTAAGTCAAAGTAAAACTCCTCTGTTCCTCTAAGAAGAAGCCAGCCGATGACTTAAGCCCGCCAAATATGCGCTTTATGTATTCCCACCCATAGGCCTTGGACATTTCTTTCCTCCATAAAAGCTTTCATCACACATTTTCGTTGCGTGTGATAGATATTGCTGGACAAAATTCAAACTTTTGAAAATATTCGAATTTTAATAGAAACACTTTTCGATTCGTTTTTTGCAAAAATGATTTTTGCTACACAATTTTCATATCAATTTATTTTTTAAATTGTTATTGGAATATAATCTTTTTGATTTAGAAAACATTCCATTGATATTTGAAATTTAAATTAATGTTTAGCCTTTATTATCAAACAATTTAAATACTTCTTAAGATTTTTAATCATTTTAGACTTTTTGTCATTTAACCTAGAGGTTTATTTTTTTCTAAACCCCAAATCACTTGTTTATTAATTTGTTGCAATTTTATCACGCTATTGTTGTACTAATTGAGTGATAATGCCACCATCTCAACGATTATGATCATATAAAATTCACTTTGTTATTGTTGTTTTGGTACTCACTTGTTTGAATTGTGATAAGAGGTTTAGTCTTATTTATTATTTCGAAAAAATCCAAGTCAGGACCGGCTCGCAATTGTTTTGTGTTCAAGTCTATACGACGTCTCTGGTACAACTGAAAAGTACTTTCAATTTTCCTCTTCTCTGGAGTAAATTGCGCAGGCCTTTTTTACGCTACGAGTTCTTATCAGTAGAGCCGGCTTTTTGAAACCATATGTGCCATATGTTTGTATGGTTTGAATTGCATTGATGATATGGCAATAGGGCTACCATAACCTATCGTAGTTGAGATAATGAGCACAAATAAAAATAAGAATGTTTTGGTCATTGTTGTTTCAAGGTTTTTTTTTTTAAATTCAAATAACACGAAGGTAATGACGTTAAAAACATTTTAAACGTTGTGTTTTTCTTCGCCGTAACACAAAGCCCATTGTTAATCAATTTTTACATTCAGCCCTATATTTTTACAATTGTCTTATCATGTATACCTCCAATAGATTTTAATTAAAAAAAATAAAAAATGGAAAAAGTATATATAATCTTTGTGTATTTCTCATTCCCCATTTTTGATTCCTGTATTTCTAAACTTTGGCAACCCTTTTATATGAAAAACAAATTAACAGCCGGCATATTGATAACAGTCATCTCATACACACATACATGCGTACACATGTAATCATAAATCTATAAAACTGTCACTATGAGCGAGAGAGATTGCACTTTTTCTTATCAACCTCTCATAAATAGACTAAAATTGCTGATAAAAAGGACAACAGCAAACATTTGCTTACCCCTCATTGTTTGATAAACAAGAATTATCTTTCAATATTTTGTGAATTTGGGATCACTTAACAACAAAAACAAGTTAATGTCCTAATTTGTGGAAATTTTCACTTGGTTTCCGATGCCTTTCACACTCAAAGTGGATTTCTCTTCTGTTTTGCAAGTTTAATACATGATAGAAGAATGCAGATAATTTTGAAATTAAAAATTTTGTTTTCTTTCTTATTTTATTTTGGCTTGAGGTCAGTAGAATAAAAAACAATTAATTTTGTTTCATCATTTTATTTCCAATATTTCGATCGGCATCGACGATCTTCATCAGGGATTGAACTTAAAAAAAAAAAAAAAAACAAATAACATGCATTTTAATATTTTAAAATTTTAAACATAATTAACAATTATAATAATTACATTTGTTTATATTCTTAAAAACAATTTCACTTCCACATCACATTACAGAGATTTTCAGACTAAACTTTTCGGTGTCTTTCTATTGTGTTTCTATAAATTTGCGCACAGTGTTCTGTGTCTGATTTGTAATTCATTCTATTTTCAATAGGGACATTAATTATGTGAAGCATTTCCAACATGTATCTTCGCTTGTAATTGTTCTCTTGTGTTAATATGTCAACATTTTTAAAATTAGGAGTATGTCCGGTTGTTGCACAGTGTGCGGCAAGTGCTGTTTTCTGTTCAAGAGGTTTGTCTTTAGCTTTTTGGTCAGATTTATGACCACTTAACCGTGTTTTTATTTTTGTTTTTGTTGTCCCAACATATACTTTATTGCATACGTTGGACCCGTCGCCATTGCATTTTATTTTGTATACAACATTGGATTTGTCATCTTGAGGAGTTTTTGATTTTGTTCTGCTGAAAAAATTGTTGTTAGTGTTGGTGCTTCTCAATGCTAACTGATATTTTTCTTTATTGTACAAATTTGAATAAGAGAAATTTTGAATAAAAAGTTATGTTAATTCGTAAACAATTGTTGAAAAATAATATCATAACAATCTCCGATTGGCGTCGTAAGAAAACATATAAAATTCTACTTTTTTTTGAAAAACATTTCAAAACTTTTGACATATCAAGGTTCCCAAACGTTGATACATCTACCTATATTCTTCTACCATGGTTTAACAATTATATTATAGAACGTTTACAGTTTACTGGATGGATTACCGGATGGATTTAAATTGTCAAATCCATTGCATATACCGCAAATAATTTTTAAAAAAAGAAATGGCCTGTTGCAGAATTTCCAGAATGTAATCATTTTTATTATGATAACCGATTTTACCTTTATTAAATCGAAAAAAAATGCAAAATAGTGGATTCCAGCAGGATCTGGGACAGAGTAAAGGTTAATCTTGGCCTTACGAAATAATTTCTCCTGTAAGAATTTCAAAATCTCAAAACTTTTTCCTCTTTCTGTAGTTTAGAGTTATTCAAGAAATATCCGGTAACAAGTAATACCAATTATGTTTATTTGTAATGGAATTCTCTAGCTCATTTTTTGAGTTACCGACAAATATCGTTAAAATTAAAGCGCAAACTAATATAATAATACTAGTAGGGAAAGGTCAAAAGTCGGGAGTGACCGACTATAAAATACCCTACAACACTATGCGTATTTAGTAGAGCTCCCGTAACAAGAAAAAATATGAGAATTTATGTGAAGTAGATCACTAATCATGGCAATCACAATTTTGGAACTATATCAAATTCTGAATCGATTTTCAACAAATTTGACATAGGCCTTTGTACTTCTATTACCAAATAAAAAGCATTTTTTGGAGCAATAGATATACCAAAAAGAGATTCACCAAATAGAAAATTTATATATTGTGAACAATAACCGTAAAATCGGATGAAATTGTATATTGAAGCTATATAAAAATCTGATCCGATCTCGATAAAATTTGAAACAGGTATTTTCGAGCTGTAAACAATGTCTGCTATTAAATATCATTGTTGGAAGGACTTAAATACAAATTTTTTTCTCTCAATAATAAATAATGAATGCGATCTGCATTTTGATCACAAAAATACATGGACAGAAGGACTGACATGCATAAATCGACTCAGAAAGTGATTCTATGAAGATCCTCAAAAGGGACTATGGGGCTATCTCGCCTTCTTCTCCATTTTACAAACAAATGCCCAAAAACATAATACCCTTACCACTATGTGATGTAGGGTATAAAAATTAACAAGTAAAAAAGTTGTAAGTTCGACCGGGCCGAACTTTGAATACCCTCCACCATTTGGAACGAATTTGGCAATTTTCAAAAACAAAATACCGAATGAGCTGTTATATTAAGATCTACACGACGTCATGGACTGCATATATAACATTATGATTTTAATTATTTTTATACCCTCCACCTTGGAAAGGAGGGTATATTATCTTTGTCATTCCGTTTGTAACATCCTTAAATATTCGTCGTAGACCCCATAAAGTATATATATTCATAATCAGCATAAAATTCTAAGTCGATTTAACGATGTCCGTCTGTCTGTCTGTCTGTCTGTCTGTTGAAATCACGATACAGCCCACATTGTTTGACGTAGAGCGCCAAAATTTAGCAGAGCAATTGGTATTGTGTCTAGGATGGTTGGTATTGAAAATGATATATCGGTCCACGTTCTGGTATAGTCCCCATATAACGGTATCTCCCGATATTCGGTATTGTGATGATTTATGCCACATTTTTTCACGGATTTGTCTGAAAATTGGTATTTGTAGGTCATAATGGGTCCCTGTACGTGTGGCGAAACATTGCATGTATAGGTCCATGTTTTGGTATAGCCCCCATATAATGGTACCTCCCGATATTCGATGTTTTGACTATTTTTGCCACATTTTTTTTTTAACGGATTTGTCTAAAAATTGGTATTTGTTGGTCATAATGGGTTCCAGCTCCGTTGGCAAAACATTGCATGTATGGGTCCATGATTTGGTATAGCCCCCATATAACGGTACCTCCCGATATTCGGCATTTTAATGTTTGTTGCCACATTTCTTCTAATATTTCCTTTACCCTTAGGTGGAGGGTATTAAAAGTTTGGCCCGTCCGAACTTAATGTTTTTTTACTTGTTATTTTCTTGGCTTAATATGTCAACTTTTTATACCCTCCACCATACTATGGAGGGTATATTAATTTTGTCATTCCGTTTGTAACTCCTCGAAATACTCACGTCAGACCCAACAAAGTATATATATTCTTGATCAGCGTAAAATCTAAGACGATTTAGCCATGTCCGTCTGTCTGTCTGTCCGTCTGTCTGTTGTAATCACGCTATCTTTCGAACAAATTGAGATAGAAGGCTAAAATTTTGCACACATGTATATTTTTCCAGTAGGCAGGTTAAGTTCGTAAATGGGTCATGTAGGTCCAAGTTTTCATATAGCCCCCATATAACGGTACCTCTCGATATTCGGTATTTTGATGATTTTAGCGACATTATTCACCGGAATTGTTTCAAATTTGGCATTTGAAGTTCGTAATGGATACTACAGCCTAAGACAGAAAATTATCTGTGCAGGTTCACGTCTTCGTATAGCCCCCATATAACGGTACCCCCCGATATTCGGTATTTTGATGATTTTAGCGACATTATTTAACGGAACCGTTCCAAATTTGGTATTTGAAGTTCGTAATAGATACTGAAGCAGAAAACAGAAAATGGGCCACGTAGGTCCACGTCTTCGTATAGCCCCCATATACCGTACCCCCCGATATTCGATATTTTGATGATTTTAGCGACATTATTTAACGGAACCGTTCCAAATTTGGTATTTGAAGTTCGTAATAGATACTGCAGCAGAAAACAGAAAATGGACCATGTAGGTCCACGTCTTCGTATAGGCCCCATATACCGTACCCCCCGATATTCGGTATTTTGATGATTTTAGCGACATTATTTACCGGGATTGTTTTAAATTTCGCATTTGAAGTTCGTAATGGATACTTCAGCCCATGCCAGAAAATTGTCTGTGCAGGTCCACGTCTTGGTATAGCCTCCATATAACGGTACCCCCTATATTCGGCATTTTGATGATTTTAGCTACATTATAAACAAATTTTTCTTCATGTTTCGCATTTAAATGTTGTAATAACTTATGACAAAAGTTGCCTATGCATGTATACGTCGTCGTATAGACATTCGGTATTTTTAAGATTTTAACAGAATTTTTAAAGGATTTTTTTTATTTTATTTATTTATTTATTTTATTTTTTTGGAAATTGCCAAATTTGTACCAAATGGTGGAGGGTATTAAAAGTTCGGCCCGGCCGAACTTACAGCTTTTTTACTTGTTTTATTTATGTGTGTATTCTTTTCAATAATAAAAACTGTTCAGAAAATATTTAAATTCGGGTTAATGCTGATTGCAACGTATGCATTGACAAAATCTACAGTTTTTTGTAGCGGAATGAACCTTAAGAGATATATAGAAAATGATTTTGAAAAGAAATTTTGACCTTTCATTAAGTTTTCGCGGTTTTCAATTATTTATTCAAAACCAATGCAAAAAGTTGTTTGGTTTTTTGATTGTTTTTAAAGTAATTCTGACGTTGCAAGCCAAACAGGTAGACCTCTATACTTGAAATTTTTTCAAAGTTAGCCTACCTTGTCTTCATTGTACCATGCTAGACAGAAGAAAAATTTGCATTATATTGACGATTGGCTGTCAAGCTTAGCTGTCGTATTGATATAGTTCATTCTTGTCCTAACAAAAGGCACACTAATACTGTTGCCACGACGACAAAACTATTTGTTTGTCGTTAATAATTTGTTGAAAAACTGGAGGAATTGAAACGAATTTCAGCTAGGAATAAAGTAGCTTATTGTGCAAATAATAACATTTAAACATTTAAAGAAGAAGAATAATAAAAAAAAAAAACTACAAAATGGAGGTTATGGAAGAAGGCAATCTTATGGACCGAGTTCCAATTTTATTACAACGTGATTTGGAATTCTATCAGGTATTTATTTTATAAGACTGTAAAATGTGTTATTTGTATTATGTAATTAATTTTTTAAATTCCAGACCCATCAGCGAGTATTGCAAGAACGTCTTTGTACTGGCGTTGTAGGGGGTAAATTGGATTTCCCACGTTATGCTTCTTTTGCTGCCATAAAAATGATTTTATGGTGGGAAGATGAATATTTCGCCTCATATCGCAAACATTCGGGTCTGCTGCATACGGAAAAGGAATTGAGTGAAGGAGATTTTGTAAGTGCAAATAATTATTTAATAATTGAAAAAAAGTATTATTTTAAAACTGGGATGGGAGATCTATTGTGACATTTCTTTAATTGGATGGTACCCAAGAATTTTCTTTAGCTTTATGTTAGGTATGTCTGGTTACTTTTCCTGCAGGAATTGTCCAGCAACTTCTTTCTGAGAAAGAGAGGTAGTTTTAAGCTGGGAATACATAAAGCGCTTATCTGGCTGGCTTCTTCGGAGATGATCAAAGGAGAATAGGGTCAAAATCGAACTAATTCAACCTAAAACTCCTTTGTTCCTCTACGAAGAAGCCAGTCGATGACTTAAGCCAGCCAAATATGCGCTATATGTATTTTCACCCTTATTCTTTTTTGCAAGAAAACTGTGAAAAGTAAAGTGAAAAGTAAGCAAACAGGCGGAATAAAATAACTTAAGAACCCAAAAATAAATCGAAAATCAAAACGATTGTGCTTGCGTTTTTATACCCTACAGTTTGATTGGGCCAAAAATTATGTAACACCTTGGTATTTCGCCGAGCTGAGTCGATCTAGCTATGTATGTCCGTCCGTCCATCTGTCCGTCTGTCCATGTTAATTTGTAATCACTCTACAGGTCGCAATTATGGCCTGCTCTTCACGAAATTTAGAATGGAGGTGGGGCGGGAGCCAGAATAGAGATGATCGCATAATATTTAGGGGTTGAAATGGACCAAAAACTGAAACATGTTCGATTCGATCCGATCCTGTCCGGTTAGGCTCAGAAGGGCGAGGCTTATTCTTTTTAAAAATGCCCGCAATATATTTAGGGGTTAAAATGGACAAACAGCTAAAAATGTTCCTGATTTTGCAGCCGGTCACTCCTCCATACTATGGTGGCCTTTTATACCCTCCACCATAGTATGGAGGTTATATTAAGTTTGTCATTCCGTTCGTAACACCTTGAAGTATACATTTTAGACCCCACAAAGTATATATATTCTTGATCAGCATAAAATTCTGTGTCGATTTAGCGATATACATCCGTCTGTGAAAAACACTCTAGCTTCCGAACGAAATGAAGTAGATTGATAAAATTTTACTTAAATGTATATTTTGTGTGCAGGACTTTTGGTATTGAAAATGGGCCATGTAGGTCCAGGTCTTCATACAGCCCCCATATGACGGAACCTCCCGATATGCGGTATTTTGATGATTTTAGCGACATTGTTTACTGGAATTTGGTATTTGAAGTTCGTAATGGATACTACAGCCTATGCCAGAAAATTGTCTGTGTAGGTCCACGTCTTCGTATAGCCCCCATAAAACGATACCCCAGCTATTCGGTATTTTGATGATTTTTGGGACATTTTTACCTGAATTATTTCAAATTTGGTACTTGGAAGTTCGTAATGAATACTACAGCCTATGAAATAAAATTGTCTGTGCATATCCACGTCTTCGTATATCCCTCATATAACGGTTTCTCCCGTTATTGGGTATTTTGATGATTTTAGAGTCATTATTTACCGGAACTATTTCAAATTCAGTATTTGAAGTTCGTAATGGATATGACAGGAGATTGTCTGTGCAGGTCCACGTCTTCGTATAGCCCCCATATAACGGTACCTCTCGATATTCGGTATTTTGATTATTTTAGCGATATTATTCACCGGAATTGTTTCAAATTTGGTATTTGAAGTTCGTAATGGATACTACAGCCTAGGACAGAAAATTGTCTGTGCAGGTTTTACGTCTTCGTATAGCTCCCATATAATGGTACCTCCCTATATTCGGTATTTTTATGATTTTAGCGACATTATTAATTGACTTTTTTCTAAGTTTTTTTTTATTCCATAACCAAGTAACTTGTTTCCTGTGTCATATCTCTTTTCAGTCTTCGGTGGTTGTAAAGACCTCAGATCCAGATAAATTTGTTGGCATTGTAACCAAATCAGCGGACCTACTGTTAGAACATTTACATGTCCTGTCACAAGAATCTCTGGATCATGCCGATCTCTCGGTGTTGACGGCAACAATTGGCGCTGCAGCTTTGGTTCGCAACTGTTTAAATGTCTATCTACAGGCTTGCACTACAAAAATATGTCCCCCGAAAGGCGATGAGAAAGGTGGAGCATTGAAAATCTCACTTAAACAATATTCCCAACTGTCGGAAGCTTTGGCAGAACGTCTTTTGGATCTGCATTGTCGACTTCTGTTGCTCTATATTGTTCAAGATGCCGATGCCCTGCATTGGGAAGACACTGAACCATTTTTTGAATCCGAACGTGGTAGCTATACCATTCAAATGTGGTGGCTGTACATGTGCGGCACCAAAGATGATCTATGGAATTCTGTGCCACCGAAAATGGCACAACGCATCTTTGGCGGTATGCTTAATGAGACCTTGAGCGTGTTGACGGTACGCTATTCGCAGATTGTCACCAGCAATGCTCGTGCTCAATTGCATTTGTGTGATATTTGCAATTTGTTGTTTTGCATTGCAGAACTGCTGCCACATGTCAGTGAAAGTGGGGAGGCATATGTGGGTAAGTGGTGGAATAACCTATAGCCAATGGCAATGGGAGGACTTGTAAGTATTCCCAGAGGGAGTTAACGGAAATTCTAAGTTCTTACAAAAGAAAGAATTTTCCTAATGATATAGCTAGACCCCCCCATTAAGCATAATTTCTAATTCGCCCTATGCGTTGTTAAAATTTAACCAAATGGAATTGCCTCTAATTAACATTTAATTATCATATTTACAGCATCTGTTTTGTGCATCTTCATATCTTATATATGTGCATTTGTGTGTGTGTGTTTATTTTATTCTCCCAGGATTACAGCTAAATAACCAAAGTGTCATTATACGCGACATACATGCAAAGTGCAGGGAACTCTTCTATTGCCTCCTGCTGAGGGGTGCACCGCTTGGAGTGCTCTCAAAGGTTTGTTGTATTCGTTGGATGGATGCACTTTTACCTTATTGCCACCAACTGGAAAAAGTTAAGAAAAACAAAATGAATAAGTTAAATATTTTCACAATGATTCAAAATTATGCAAATTTTTGGATGTATGATATAATGTGGTGATGTACTATTTAGAGGGTATATATCATTTGATACGGCCAAAACGTGATTCATCGAAATAACGGTTTTAGACCCTAGGTCTCTTTGGACCAAATCAGTTTCAGGACATTTGGAGTCGATCTAGCGATGTCCGTCCTTCCGTCTGTTTGTCTGGCTGGTGCGCACGATAACTCTCGAAGGGAGTATACGATTTAATCCAAACTTGGTCAAACTTAAATCGAGTTCCGGGATGAGCAATATCGGTTCGCTCCCTCTGGTACAACCTCCAAAAAAGCTCGAAGTTTCAAAAAAATTTACTGCACAGAAAGAAAAAGCATAATCCGATTTTGCTAGAAATTTGCAAATTCTAATATTTATATCAGTGTTAGGTCAGGTGAGAAAAATGGACAATATCAGTCCACTCCATAATGTACCTCCCCCAAAAAGTGTTATAATTTCGAAAAATTATAACTTTAATAAAATATGATGTAACACCACGGTTCTCTTCAAATTACACACATTATTAAGCAAAGGTCTGGTGTGAAGATGGTATATATCGGTCCACACCTCCTTCTCCCCAACAAAGGGTTAACATTTTGAATAACCATGAAACTCGTAAAACGCGAAATAAGCATTCTATTCTTTTCATTTCATTCATTTCATGCAATCCAATATATCTACTTAAGCAAGATCAGGTGTGAAGATGGTAGATATCGGACAACTCCTTCTGGTACATCCCCCACAAAGCGTCAAAATGTTGAATAGTTGTAACGTTTATAATAGTTGAACTAAAAGTCCAATTATTTTCAAATTTCGCACATATTAATACTTCCACAAACACAAGGTCTGGTATGAAGAATGGATTGAACGGACTACTCCTTCTAGTACCTCCCCAACAAAGGTTTAACATTTGGAATAACTATTAAGTACATAAAACGCGAAATGAGCATCCGTCCAAATACCTCTATCAACATCCCACAACGTGTCAAAATTTCTAATAAAATTTTTATCAGACTTATGTCAGATACGGAATTGAATATATGGGCCCACTCCTTCAGAACCTCTCCTATGAAGCGTCAACAGTTTGAATAATCATAACGCTAGTCAAAATATACAGAGTGAGATAAAAAACTGCAACTAACTTCAGACTGCTGTCATTTCTAAGCCACTCGTTCGACAGCTGTTAAAATTATTCCAGTGACAGCTCATTATATTGTTTACAAGCGTACAAAAGCATTTTGGTGAGAATTTTCCAGAAAAAAAGTTATTCGTGATGGAATGTGATGGAGTGTGATAGTGTGATTTCTTTATATTTGGCTGGAAATCCACTTTTGGTTAGAGTTCTCCAGCATTTAAATGTGAACAAATCTTTTGTGTCTCGTATCATTTTTCGTTTCCGTGATACTGGTAATGTAGCCCGACGTCAAGGAAGTGGACGGAAGAAAACAGCAACATAAGCAGAAATGGTTCGAAAAATAAAGAAGCGACTTTATCGAAACTCGCATCGCAGTGGCCGAAAAACGGCTCGTGAGAGCTAAAGAGTTGCTTCGCTTGGAGACCTGTCGAATTTGGTTTTCTCCAAAGAGATAACATTCGTTGTCCAGCAGTTTGTAACCAAACAAAATTATCATGTTTACTTGCCAAAGAGGTCAGCTGAAAATTTGCACCTTCGGTTGGTCACCAGAACTCAAGCGCCGGCCATGGTGAAGGTGTGGGCCGACATTACAGCCGATGGTCGCTCTCCTTTCTTATTAATCGACCGTGGCATCATAATAAATACCGAATATTGTCGCGTAAATATTCTGGAGGGTGTATTAAAGCCTTGGACACGCAAACATTTTAGCCGCAGAACTTGGACATTGGAACAGGACACAGCACCATCGCACTCAGCACGCGCCACTCAAGAATGGTTACAAAATGAAGTTCCTCGCTTCATTTCCAGCGCACAATGGCCACCTAAATCTCCGGACGCCAATCCGTTGGACTATTGTGTCTGGAGTATTTTTGAAAGTAAGGTTGGCACTAAAAAATACCAAAGTGTCGATCACCTCAAGCAAGCGCTTCGCCGGGAAATGGGCCAAAATATCGCAGAGCAACATTCGGTTTCATTGGCCGTTTGAAGGCCATAATTCGTGCCAAAGGTGACCAATTCGAATAAATCTAAACTTATTCTAAAATTTGATGTTATTTCCGACATTTTGTGCTTTCATTCAATAAAATTAAAAAAACTGTTAAAAATTATTGCGTTTGACTTTGTTGCAGTTTTTTATCTCACCCTGTATATTAGCTCCCTCTGAAACCAGATTATAACTGCTCTAAAGCCAAATGTTGAATCTTTCCGACTTAAAATAAACCTGGTAGCGAGAAGATCTATTTTTGTACGGTAAATCAGGTTTAATATATCCTGATTAAGCAATTAATCCTAATAATGTGGGTTAGTCCGGATAAAATGTTGAGCTATTAGCAGTTTAATTGGGAGAATGACTCTCATCGTGATATAAGTGCTTTAAGTCCCTTTGGAAGCAATCGCGGTTTTAAGACATTTGAAGCCAATCTAGAAATGCCCGTATGTCCACAGGTCCGCATGTCTGGTTGGTGTGCACAATAACATCCAAAGAGATTATCTGTTTTGATTCAAATGTTATACATCTTCCTGAAACTATTGACATTGATATTTTTCAAGGTTTTCCGCAAAGGTTTGGAAAATATGGAAATGTTTTCATCACGCCACGGACTACCAAGTGCCTGGATAATATTTGCCCTATCGCGAATGTTTCCCAAGGATCAGTCATGTCAGTGGGTAACCGAGTTTGCAGATCTGAATACAAATAGCGCCATTGCTTTGGAGTTGAAAGTTCTTTTGGCATTTCCCGAAGCTGATTGGTCATTTTTGGTGAAGGTAAGGCAATCAAAAGCGGAGATCTTTTCAGAAATAAATTAAAGCTTACCTCCAAAGGTCCTGCTAATGCGTGATGCCCATTTGACGGGTATTATATTGAGGCATCTCTTGCAGCATTTGCCATCATCGGAGAACTTTAAAAATGTCGCCAGAAATTCTTTTGTTGAGGCAGCCACGGAATCGAAAAAGTGTGAGGGTTTTTTGTGTCGCGGGGAATGTTTTAAGGTGTCTGATTTGTTGGCGGAGGATGTGGGTAAGGATACAAACATTTAAAAAATCTTGAAAACTATTTATACCTGCTCTATATTCCTTCTTTTCGAGATCCTGTTGGTCAGTCCAATTGCCAGATAGTTTTGTCTTTGACTTATCTATTGGTGGCCTTGGGCAAAGCCGTGGATATAAAATCATGCCTGGTTAAAAATTTGGAGGAAGTTGGCCTGCCAGGCTGGAGTGATTGTTTGGATAAAAGACAGGTAGATATCTATAGCCATCATCATGACATTAGGTAAATTGTTCATGGAAATTCGTTCAGGTTTGGAACCAAAAACGTCCTCCATGGTTGGAAGCTATTATGCATTTTGTCTATCCAGTGCTGAACACAACGGTGGACATGCTAATAAATGCTGTGGAGGCTGGAGCTAGTATGTATCAAGCTATGTCCTTGGCTCTAACCTGTGTATCCGAAATGTGGGATTGCATACCGGAGGGACTGTACAAGGTTACATCTTTACTGCAAGATATAACACCAGTTTCTACCAGACCACTGAGTAGGTGTTTCCATACCATATTGAGAAACAAAAATATACCTTCAAAACATTTTTAGGTGATTCGGTTTTGATGCAAGTTATGTTTGCCGGCCTATATACGGAACTCATAAAAACAGCTGAGAAATTTGAAAAATCCAATGAACAAGACAAGGCTTCAATTTGTTATACGATCTCCGAGGCCATCTGTTCCATTGACGAAGATGATAAGCATACCGATCAAATCGATTTGTTTTTGAAACAGGCCAAAGATAGCATCATCCTGGAGACTTTTGCAGATTCTGGACGCCGAGTTGGTGGCATGAGTGCTGTTAGCACGGTAAAAATAGATGAAATTGGTACAGCTGACTCAGATCGCATGAGTCATAGTCCGCCGGCTAACTATGCTATGGAAATGGATGTGGGCATAACCGATTTTGTTGCTGAGGTGTTGGCAAGTGACGTCCTAACAACGGACATTGGAAAACAGGCATTGAAGGTAAAACGAGATATAATGATTTTGAAAAAAATGTTTGTCTAAAAGTTTTCTTTCGAAAATATTTTTGTTATTGAAAGGCCATTATCGAAAAATTTTTATCGAACCATTTTTGTATAGAAAGAGTTGTTATCGAACAACTTTTCCACAGAAAAATATGTTATCGAATAACTTTTCTATAGAAAACATCGTTATCGATCCACTTTTCTATAGAAATAGCTTTTATCGAATAACTTTTCTATGTAAAGAGCTGTTATCTATATAGAAAGATTTGTTATCGAACAACTTTTCTATAGAAAGAGTTGTTATCGAACCACTTTTCTCTAGAAAAAGTTCGTTACCGAACAACTTTTCCATAGAAAAGTAAGATATCGAACAACTTTTCCATAATAAGTTTAGTTATCGAACATCGTTCCCATAGTTATCGAACAACTTTTCTAAAGAAAAGTTCGTTATCGAACAACTTTTCTAAAGAAAAGTTCGTTATTAAACAGCTTTTCTATAGAACGAGTTGCTATCGAACAGCTTTTCTGTAGAACGAGTTGTTATCGAACAGCTTTTCTATAGAACGAGTTGTTATCGAACAGCTTTTCTATAGAACGAGTTGTTATCGAACAGCTTTTCTGTAGAACGAGTTTTTACCGAACAACTTTTCTATAGAAATAGTTGTTATCGAACAACTTTTCTATAGAAATAGTTGTTATCGAACAACTTTTCTATAGAAATAGTTGTTATCGAACAACTTTTCTATAGAAATAGTTGTTATCGAACAACTTTTCTATAGAAATAGTTGTTATCGAACAACTTTTCTATAGAAATAGTTGTTATCGAACAACTTTTCTATAGAAATAGTTGTTATCGAACAACTTTTCTATAGAAATAGTTGTTATCGAACAACTTTTCTATAGACATAGTTGTTATCGAACAACTTTTCTATAGAAATAGTTGTTATCGAACAACTTTTTTATAGAAATAGTTGTTATCGAACAACTTTTTTATAGAAATAGTTGTTATCGAACAACTTTTTTATAGAAATAGTTGTTATCGAACAACTTTTCTATAGACATAGTTGTTATCGAACAATTTTTCTATAGAAATAGTTGTTATCGAACAACTTTTTTATAGAAATAGTTGTTATCGAACAACTTTTCTATAGAAATAGTTGTTATCGAACAACTTTTTTTATAGAAATAGTTGTTATCGAACTACTTTTCTATAGAAATAGTTGTTATCGAACAACTTTTCTATAAAAATAGTTGTTTTCGAACACCTTTTCTATAGAAATAGTTGTTTTCGAACACCTTTTCTGCAGAAATAGTTGTTATAGAACAACTTTTCTATAGAAATAGTTGTTATCGAACAACTTTTCTATAGAAATAGTTGTTATCGAACAACTTTTCTATAGAAATAGTTGTTATAGAACAACTTTTCTATAGAAATAGTTGTTATCGAACAACTTTTCTATAGAAATAGTTGTTATCGAACAACTTTTCTATAGAAATAATTGTTATCGAACAACTTTTCTATAGACATAGATGTTATCAAACAATTTTTCTATAGAAATAGTTGTTATCGAACAACTTTTCTATAGAAATAGTTGTTATCGAACAACTTTTCTATAGAAATAGTTGTTATCGAACAACTTTTCTATTGAAATAGTTGTTATCGAACAACTTTTTTATAGAAATAGTTGTTATCGAACAACTTTTTTATAGAAATAGTTGTTATCGAACAACTTTTCTATAGACATAGTTGTTATCGAACAATTTTTCTATAGAAATAGTTGTTATCGAACAACTTTTTTATAGAAATAGTTGTTATCGAACAACTTTTCTATAGAAATAGTTGTTATCGAAAAACTTTTTTTATAGAAATAGTTGTTATCGAACTACTTTTCTATAGAAATAGTTGTTATCGAACAACTTTTCTATAAAAATAGTTGTTTTCGAACACCTTTTCTATAGAAATAGTTGTTTTCGAACACCTTTTCTGCAGAAATAGTTGTTATAGAACAACTTTTCTATAGAAATAGTTGTTATCGAACAACTTTTCTATAGAAATAGTTGTTATCGAACAACTTTTCTATAGAAATAGTTGTTATAGAACAACTTTTCTATAGAAATAGTTGTTATCGAACAACTTTTCTATAGAAATAGTTGTTATCGAACAACTTTTCTATAGAAATAATTGTTATCGAACAACTTTTCTATAGACATAGATGTTATCAAACAATTTTTCTATAGAAATAGTTGTTATCGAACAACTTTTCTATAGAAATAGTTGTTATCGAACAACTTTTCTATAGAAATAGTTGTTATCGAACAACTTTTCTATTGAAATAGTTGTTATCGAACAACTTTTCTATTGAAATAGTTGTTATCGAACAACTTTTCTATAGAAATAGTTGTTATCGAACAACTTTTCTATAGAAATAGTTGTTATCGAACAACTTTTCTATAGAAATAGTTGTTATCGAACAACTTTTCTATATAAATAGTTGTTATCGAACAACTTTGCTATAGAAATAGTTGTTATCGAACAACTTTGCTATAGAAATAGTTGTTATCGAACAACTTTGCTATAGAAATAGTTGTTATCGAACAACTTTGCTATAGAAATAGTTGTTATCGAACAACTTTGCTATAGAAACAGCTGTTATCGAACAACTTTTCTATAGAAATAGTTGTTATCGAACAACGTTTCTATAGAAGTAGTTGTTATCGAACAACTTTGCTATAGAAATAGTTGTTATCGAACAACTTTTCTTTAGAAATAGTTGTTATCGAATAACTTTTCTATAGAAATAGTTGTTATCGAACAACTTTTTTTTAGAAATAGTTGTTATCGAACAACATTTCTATAGAAATAGTTGTTATCGAACAACTTTTCTATAGAAATAGTTGTTATCGGACAACTTTTCTATAGAAATAGTTGTTATCGGACAACTTTTCTATAGAAATAGTTGTTATCGAACAACGTTTCTATAGAAATAGTTGTTATCGAACAACTTTTCTATAGAAATAGTTGTTATCGGACAACTTTTCTATAGAAATAGTTGTTATCGGACAACTTTTCTATAGAAATAGTTGTTATCGGACAACTTTTCTATAGAAATAGTTGTTGTCGGACAACTTTTCTATAGAAATAGTTGTTATCGAACAACTTTTCCATAGAAATAGTTGTTATCGAACAACTTCTATGAAAATTATTGTTATCGAAAAACTATTCTATGAAAAATGTTGTTATCTCCAAAAAGTGTTTGTTTAACTTAAAAAAATTTAATTTGATGTTTTCCGATAATTTACAGGTCTGTTACAATTATTTAAAAAACAACAAAGAATGGCTTATGGAACAATTGGCCACCAGCGAAAATGATCCAAGCCCTTTTCAAGGCGCCCAAGGACAAAATATTAAAGAAACAAAACCCACACTGTTGAAAACTATGTTCTACATCGATCAACATCCATTTGATCAGGTAAGTTGGAAGAACTAATGTAACTACTTCCATCTGAAAATATTTATTGTTCCCATACGCTTCAGCTGCTAACAGGTTCCTTAAAAATCGATTATGTTACATGGCTGCAAACGCCCATATCACTGAATCCGGAACGTGCTTGGCTGCATTTGTCGCGTCGCTGTGATTTTCAAGAAGATGCCAAACTAACAATGCCGGAAGTAGCCATGGTGGCAAGCATAACGAAAATTATGAAGAAACGCAAGAACTATGGCAAGTAGGAAGAGAGGGAGAGAGAGACGTGCGTGCGGTGGCAAAATGAAGTTCATAAAACCCTTAAATGGCGACAAATCAAAATCTTAAACAAAAATTGACTTAAACAAATGCTATGAAATAAAACAGACTTCCAGTAGTCTGAAGGCTTTAAAGCTGTATGTAAGAGCGAACGTGTGTGTGCTTTTATATGAATTACTTTAGAAATGTTTGTGGTTGACAAATTTTTAAAGAGTTTAATCATGTAAATGCGGTTTCAGTTGGGCCAAGGAAATGAAGTGGAAAATTATACGTAAATCATACGCACTGTTGCTCTGAATGCTTGCCTAGCAAAAGGTAAAGGACCGGAATAAATGAATGGGAACATTTATGTCCTTATACGTGCGTATGCCTGCGGCAGAAGAGAGGAAGTGGGAGAGGGAGAGAGAGTATGTGTGAGTGTGTTTAAGAAAGACAAGGTATTTGTTATACCATGGCCTCACTTGTCCCTGTGTATGTGTGCCATACAATTGCTTATATTTAACAATTTTGTGGCAGAATTCCTGCTGTGGTGTCGTTTCATTTAGGCCAACAAATAATAAAGCTATCATAACAATACCTTAATGTTGTAATAATGCAAATTCACTTGAAGTAATCAACTTTTAAATTGCCTCTACATGCATATGCTCACTGTCAATGCTAATGAATTTCGCCATCCTGCAGAACAAAAGGAAAATATTTAAAAAATTAATTTTAACAAAAGAAAAAAGTAATGAAAGTAAAAGTAGCTTCTCTATATAATTCAATCGAAGTAAAATGTGAATTTTGATAGCAGATATACAGGGTGAGATGAAAAAACTGCAACCAAATTCAGACTGCTGTCATTTCTAAGTCACTCGTCCGACAGCTGTTGAAATTATTCCACTGACAGCTCATTGTATTGTTTACAAGAGTACAAAAGCATTTTGGTGAGAATTATCCAGAAAAGAAGTTATTCGTGGTGAAATTCAAGCGTGATAGTGTGATTTCTTTATATTTGGTTGGAAAACCACAAGTGGCTATCGTTAGAGCACTCCATCATTTAAATGTAAATAAATCTTTTGTGCCTCGTACCATCGCTCGTTACCGTGATACTTGTAGCGTAGCACGACCTCAAGGAAGTGGGCGGAAGAAAACAGCAACATCAACCAAAATGGTTCGATAAGTAAAGAAGCGACTGGATCGAAACCCGCATCGCAGTGTCCGAAAAATGGCTCGTGAGCTCAACATATCGCAATATTCCATTCGGCAAATATTGAAAAATGAGCTCGGGTTAATGCCTTTGAAATTCCAAAAAGTGCAAGAACTTACACCACAACAGAAAGAAAATAGACTCAAAAGAGCTAAAGAGTTGCTTCTCTTGGCCGGAAGTGGTGAACTGCCGAATTTTGTTTTCTCCGATGAGAAAACATTCGTTGTCCAGCAGTTTGTAAACAAACAAATTGATCGTGTTTACTTGCCAAAGAGGTCAGCTGAAAATTTGCACCTTCAGTTGGGCACCAGAACTCAAGCGCCGACCATGATGATGATGTGGGCCGCCATAACAGTCTATGGTCGCCCTCTGCTCGTATTGATCGAGTGTGGCATCAGAATAAATACGGAATATTATCGCGAAAATATTCTGGAAGATGTATTAAAGCCTTGGGCATGCATACATTTTGGCCACAGACCTTGGATATTCCAACAGAACTCAACACCATCGCACTCAGCACGCGCCACCCAAGAATGGTTACAAAATGAGGTTCCTCGCTTCATTTCCAGCGCACAATGGCCACCAAAATTTTCCGGATACCGGAAAGCAAGGTTGGCCCTAAAAAATACCAATGTGCCGATTACCTCAAGCAAGCGCTTCGCCGGGAATGGCCCAAAATACCGCAAAGCAAAATTCGGGCAGCGTGTGACGGTTTCATTGGCCGTTTGAAGGCCGTAATTCGTGCCAAAGGCGACCACTTCGAACAAATCTAAACTTATTTTAAAATTTGATGTTATTTCCGACATTTTTTGCTTTTATTTAATAAAATTAAAAAAAAAAAAAAAAAAACAAGTAAAAAACATTAAATTCGACCGGGCCAAACTTTTAATACCCTCCACCTTAGCGTAAAGGAAACATTAGAAAAAATGTTGCAAAAACCATTAAAATGCCGAATATCGGGAGGTACCGTTGTATATGGGCTATATTAAATCGTGGACCTACACATGCAATGTTTCGCCAAAGGAGCTAGAACCCATTATGACCTTCAAATACCAATTTTCAGACAAATCCGTGAAAAAATGTGTCAAAAATCATCAAATTACCGAATATTGGGAGGTACCGTTATATGGGGGCTATACCAAAACGTGGACCTATAATTACAATGACTCGCCACACAAACTGGGACCCATTATGATCTACAAATACCAATTTTTAGACATATACGTGAAAAAAATGTGGTAAAAACCATCATGCGCCATTCCTTCTGGTACCTCCCCAATAGCCAACACGATTATAAAATCCGAAATAACCATCAGACTTGCCACATATGAATATTTCCATGTATACAAGATCTGTTATAAAAATGTTTGAGATCAAACTATTTCTTCTGGTACCTACCCCCAAAGGGTACCAGATTTTGAAGAACAAAATTCAAAAATGAAAAGGGTCACAATGTTCAATACTTTTTTCTGTCATAACCTGCGAAACAAGTCAGCGATTCTTTACAACTTGTCATATCTAAATATTTCTCTCAACCAGAAACCTGGGATGAATATGGAATTTATGATTTTGCATAAAATTGAATATAAATTTTCGATTTTCTCGTAGTTTTGCCTATACCAATATTTTTCTGCATTAGATGAAGTATGAAAATGGAATACTTCGGTCAACTATATTTGGTACCTCACTCACATTTTCTAAAAATTATCACATATCTCATATAAAGTCAAACCTGGCACGTCGCAATATTTTTGTTATATTTATTTAGGTATGGTATGAAATGGACAATATTGGCCCATTTCTTCGGAACATACTCTATAGAGGGTAAACAATTTGAATAATCATAACAGAAGTCAAAATATATTTAAATAACTAAACATTGGCTGAGGGTATAGATGTGTCAGGAAAATCAACTGAAGACTTGTTTTAAGACACTTTACAAGCAACACCCATATCAACACCCCACACAGTGAGCCTTATATGAAATGAAGAAATATAAAAAATATATGTTTTTTCCTTCCTTTTTTTGTAATTAGAAAGTGTAAACCTATTCTTTACAAAATCTCTTTGTTAATCAATTCTTAAGAAATATGGGAACAATAAGCCGTATAAAAATGCCTTGAGTTGGCCTTTTTATTTATGAAATTGTTGCCTTGGAATCTCTACAATAATAGAGAGATTACAACGGCTTATAACGTTTTTTCCCATGACTTTTGTCAAGGCTCCTCAGCTTTTGACTACACCTAATAATTCTCATTCGTGTTCTTTTCAGATTTCTCACCTGCCTTATTTATTTTTTTTAAGAACACGCACACACACAACAATGTCCACATTGTTGTCCAAGAATGCCGGGGAAAAAACACACAAAAGAATACTTTTGTTGTATAACATTTCGAAATTAAATTAAGGTCACATTAAGACGTGACTTTAAAGGCGCAAATCGATTATGATGTCCTTTTTTGTCAACAGCTTTATAGTTCATAAACCGAGACTGGTTTTAAAACAAAAGGAAAAGAGAAAAACTTCGTCCTTGATGTGAGGTGGCACCTTAACGGCCAAATGACCTCATTAGATGTACATTTACGTGTTGTTTGTAATTACAGAGAGGGAGATAGAGAGCGAGAGACAATGACTGCAGTGTTGGTTGGCTATATGAAAAAGGACACCTTTTGTATGTTGCTATTTTATCGCATACACACACACCCAGGCACACTAAAAGGGTGTACAAGGGCCTTATATCACACTGGCAAGTTCCTTAGATAACGGAACATATTGTGTCGCGGTTTTTAATTGTTTATGGGCAGAACGCGGTTAATTCAAAGTGTTGAAGACGAGTACTGTTATATTGGGGAGAGGTGGTGTTGGTTTCGACTCTCATCTCTCATATGTAATTCAACAACAACAACATTGTTTAAGAGGGGTATAACGGGTAACTAATGTCTAATGACATACCTAGCAATCTTAATGTAAACAAAATATATATATTTTTTTATTTTTAATTTCTATGTTGGAGAATAAACTTGTCGTTGTTGTTGTAGCTGCAAATGTGCCCAACAAAAACACTTTGTTGCTCGAACATCTTCAACACTTAATTGTGATTATTATCCCACAAGGCGGCAAAAATTGACTATAAAAGAACACATTCATGCATATGTAGGTAGTGTGTGTGTGTGTGTGGTTAGAAATGGGGTATTCCATACAATTTTATTAAGAAGACCTAAGAAGTGTAAAGCTTAAGATCATCTTCCAATGGAAATGTAGTCAAAAAAGTTCGCTGATGAGGCTCCTGTTGACCCCTTTAAATAATATGCTCCCCGTGTAAGGCTTAGGGTATAATTAAGGTTTTAAATTTGGTTCTCAACATTCTTTGCGTCAATTGAATTTTGTACGGGAACAAATGCGAATCAATGCGAATAATCCGTTGTAAAGTGTACCGAGCCATGTCCAACTGCTGAAAACGGCGTTTTTGGGATGTTCTTGGGGACCTCTCAACACTGGCTCGTACGGCAGCGATATTCTCGGCCGATCGCCTTGGTCGACTTTTGTATGGCCTCTTCGGATTAGAAAGAGCCTTACCAGTCGAAAATTTTTCGTATAAACGCTTAATGGTGTTCTTAGAAGGCGCACTTCTCAAATTTTTTAATGTTTTAAAAGCACGTTGAGTTTTCACAATTGACTTCTTCTGTTGAATGTAAATTTCAGAGCGCTCGCGTGGTGTGTATTGGTTCATGGTAAAAATCAGCTTGGACTGACGCTTCAAACGCGGTATGTCATTAAGCGATGTGACATCTCTGTCAAAAGTTATGGCGTTGCCAGATGGGTCCGTCGAATATGGGCAACCCTGTACTATAATTATACCCTCAACTTAACTTTGTCATTCCGTTTGTAACATCCCTAAATATTCGTCGTAGATCCCATAAAGTATATATATTCATAATCAGCATAAAATTCAAAGTC